CGTGTTAATACGACATTTTCTTACTGTTTTTATTTTAATTTTTAGGAGATATATTATATATATTATTATAATAACTTTCTGCCATATTTAGTAAACCAAAAAAAAAAATAATAATAATAATATTTCTTATTTGATTTTCGGATATACAAACACAAATTCGCATTAATTACAAAAGATTTAAAATAATATTTTTTTGCAACGGGTACGTAATAAAAACTAGTTTTAATTTCTATGTGTTTGTACTAAATGAGAACAAAAAACTATTCGTTTTACTGAGATATTTTCTTTTTTTTTTTATTTGTGATTTGTAAAAATAATCCGGTTTTTCGAACCGTACTTTAAAATATAGGGACTTTTCAACTAATGATACTTTATTTAAACAATTTTAAAAATTGCAATAATAATAAATTACGATATATTCATTATCAACTCAGAGTCGTTTTTGATCGCAATAATTTATAAACTATATTATCCTATATTCTACACCTTTCCAACTCCCCACCAATAATAGTAGGCTTTTTATTATTCTTTCTACATATTTTTTAAACAATAAATAACACCAATAAACAATTTGATGGATGACGTTACAACACAAATTATTTCCTCTTAGATAGGTAAATATTTGTATTTATTTTGACGAAATGTTTGCATGAAAATTCAATAACAAATCTAAGTGCCTGAACAATTTCCCTTTATTACAGAATACAATGTATTTTTTAACTATCCAACATTATTCAAGTATATTTACACGTTACCACCTCGTAGTGGTATTTAAATTTGATTTTAATAAGATTTTGTTAAGATCATATTACTAAAAAGGTACCAACTAAATAAAATGCTCGCCACTGGCTGTTATTACAAAAGATTTCACAATAATCTGCTTAACAAAAAAAATCGTCTTATTTCCAACGCCCTCCACGATTATTCTCTGTCCCAAAGAATATTAAAAGGAAAATAGCCAAAAGTCACTATACCTAATAACTAATAAAGCCACTCAAATTCCATAGCGCCGGCAATGGACGCTAGCATGTAGTTTCTTCTCTCTTGTAGCCAAGTAGGTATTCTTTCTAAAAATCGTTTAACGATGTTCTCATATCTTTCATTACGTTAGGTTAACTTTTTTGTTCATATAACAATAGTTTACAGAGTGTAAATAAACAATTAAAAAAAGAAGGAGAAGAAAAAAATCACTGTTTGCATTATTAGTAAGAGTTTAATAAATTATACAATACAAACATTTGTGAAAATACTATTTTAGTACGAAAGATCATGTGTTCTTTCAAAATGTTATATGGTATCTCACGATAACCATTAATTGTTATAAATATTTTGATCTTTTATTAAAAATACAGATGCAAGGTTAATAGGCTTCGTTCTTCTTATTCCTATCAAATTTTAATAGAGTTTGATTTAATTTACTATTTTACAACGCTTACTTCAATAACAAAATTGAATCTAGGTAATGAGCAAAATAATATAAATGCAGTTCTTGTCATTAAACAAAATATAAACACGGATTTTTTAATATTACCTAAGCACTTAACGTAATTCCTAGGCATTTTATAAAATACCAAATTTGTCCTAGGCAAATCAAAAACATCAATTTAACAAATACTAGATATTTAATAATTAAAGTTATTTATTATTATTGCTTATTACAACATGTTGTTTTGTTGTTGCCCTACTTGTTACCTAAAAATACACGTTTTATTTAAAATTTGTTACTTATATTTTTTATTTATATGATTTTTATAATTACCTCTAGGACAAATGTTAATATATTTCTTACATCTCCTCGTCCTTTGTCTACCTCCGGTACTGGTATACATACTATTGATTCAACTTCTACCAGTAGCAACTTCTTACCCGATCAGGCAATCATTTTTTTTGCTTGATTTTCAAGTTTTTTAAGGCTGTCGTTCGCATGACATTTGCATTTTCATTATTTAATTGAACTGTAAATATTAACAAAAAAAATAAATATAATATAAATAAATAAATATAAATATAAATAAATATTAATGAGGACATTGATAAAATTTGAATTAATTATTAGGTTTTTTTTTGTGTTTATTCTGTGGTTAATTTTGTTAATTTTTCTTCACTGTCTATAGTATTTACATCGTACGGTGAATTTGATGTGAAGACTCATTTTTATATTGCAACTAAATAATGATTCATACAGTGACATTTTTATTCCAGAATGATAAGTCCGATTTTTCATAAATTGTATGAATCTAGGTCCTTGGCTCTAATTTTTTTTTTTTTTTAATTTTGCATCCGGTCGTTAATATATTTTCTATGTCTTGATTTGCTCGTTCGATACTTTCTTGAGATTGGCTATGTCTCGGTTTGTCATGTATAATTTTCAATTCGGGCTACATAATTTTTAAATTAGATACAATTTGATTTGAAAACTCTCGTCCATTATCAGATTGTAAAATAGTTGGAGCCTCGAGTAGGGTGAAATTATCGATGATGTTGTAGGCTACCTCTTCAACTCGCTTAGATTCAAGAGGTTTAAGAACAACAAATCTGGTAAGGTGATCCTAATACATCATTATGAATTTGAATTTCCCATCAGGATGCGATTGAAAATCTATTAAGTCTACTTGACATCGAGAATTAAAATCAAATAATCAGTTTAACCACAATGCCTTTTTTCAAGCCTTTTTGTTTTTGTCCGCATGGTTTAGAAAAATGCTAACATGTCTCTATATCATTGCGTGTTACATTTTTATGTTTATTACCAAGTTCCTTAATCATTCGATTTCGACCACCATGTCCAATTGAAATTCGCGTGGTTAGCAGTACATTATACAACTCTCTCTCAGGTACATAATACAACACGACGCTGTCGTTTTTCACGAGGAATATATGTTTTTTTTTTCTTGTACAGTCGATACATCATACCTATGACAGTGAATAAATAAATAAATAAAAACTAAAACTAAAATTAAAACCTTTTTTTAATAATTGCCTCTTGACTAAACGAAAGTCTCTTGGCTCTATTTTTTACGTCCCGTTTTAATTTATAACATGGTTTCAATTTATTCATCAGACTTTTCACTGGATAAAAAACTAGTATTATTAGGTAAATTTTTACGGCATTTATGTAATTTGTTGTAAAATGTTGATTTATTATCCATCGTAAAATTTGTTTTAATAGAACAAATGTCGTTATGAAAGTCAAAAATGAAATGAATATGTACGGACACAAGTACTTTCATCGATACACATTATAATTTCATATCGCTATTTGTAATAAATTGTTTTAATATTGATAGTAATAATGTAATCTTGGATATTGGACGTTTATTGCCAATTAACAACATAATTTTATATGACATTTAACAAAAGTTACAATATTTGCCCATTAACCGATAAAATATCATAATCGGGAATTCCAATTGTTTGTGTTATTTTTTGTTTTTATGTAGTTATATTTATACCTCTATATTATTATATTACCTAATTTACTTTGAGCATTATTCATAATACCTAGCCATTATAATAATTAAGCATATTGCCTGTTGTTTTTTTGGTATTATTCATAACACCTAGGTATTAAGAATAATGCCGGATTATCAATATTGACGGTAATATATACATATAGGCAATACTTAATCATAAATTAAATTATAAATAATCTGTGAGAATAATAAATTAATTGTATATGATAATTATTTTTAAAAAATCCTGATACTGAGGACGGGTGTACTACTGTTGTAAGTGGGAAGTTAACAAGATAGAATACATAAAGTTATTTAATTTATATCTATTAGCAACTATAAACCGTTGATAGCGAAAACCGATTCGGAGCGAAGTTCAGTTATACATATTTTGAAAGGCCGTGATATTTACGATTTTGGTCAAAATTTGTAATTGAAATTCTTATAAAAAAAAAACATAATACATAACACTCAATTTATTTATTAGCCTCTAAGTACGGCTTACATAAAGTATAATAGACCTCTATCAAATGTATAAGTATTTATATTTAGTCTAAAAATAGTATCCACAGAGTACCTACCAAATAAAAATTACGTAAGTATTCGCAAAATAAAAATATCTATAAATAACTAAAAAAAAAAAGACTTAAATATTTTTAAAATTTGATCATGTCTCAAAAAAGCAAATATAAGTTTTCGTCTAAATTGTAAGTCACTGCGAACATTTTTAACTGAATAAACAAAAGAACAAAATTGAAAACTTTAAAAGTATTAGTTTAGTAAATTTTCCGTTAATTCTACTTTTCGGTTTTGTCAATCATTAAAAATTTACAGGGACAATCTTAAAACAATGTTTTTACTCACCAGGTAGATTAAAATGTGCAAAAAATACCTTTTGTCGGTTTTTTATTGAAGGAATATTTTTAGTAGAAAACATAATGCGTATAAATTTAAAATAATAGTCGTTTTTAATTTTTGTCTTTTTCCGGTTTTTCAAATCATTATGAAAACTTTTTGGAAACCAAAAATTACAATACATTTACAAGATAAAATTTTATATAGTTATAAGTAATAAGTATATAATAAGTCATGTTCTTATTGAAAATTATGAAAATGAAATATTTTCATCGGGTTCCTTGAAAAATCATAACAAAGTCGTAAAAAAAAACAATAAATAAATAAAAAAAAACTCTATAATTGGTCGTGATAAAAATCAGAAAAATAGTTTTTGTAGAAAATATAAGTAATAATTATTAATTTAATTATTGCTTAAAAATTAAAGTATTTAATACGAAATATTGACTGGGTAATTAAATAGAAGGGCGAAATCTAAAAAAATTAAATTTTTATAACTTTTTCAATAATATTATAAAGTTGTATAACTGTAACTTATAAGCTGATTTATGACCAAGGGCCCATAGCAAGGTATTTTTATAACTTACAAAATGAATCTTATTTTAACATTTTTGGTTAAAAAGTAGCTGAGTTATACAACTTTATAATATGAATAAAACGTTATAGAAACCCAATTTGTATAGATTTCTACAAATGAATGATTCTTATAACAGTATAATTTTACTCGATCCAAGTGAATTTTATGTATTTGTTTGTGATCTTTAAGAAAAGACAACCTCGTTATTTTCGAACTTAATGAGTAAACCTTTCCGCTCAGAATCTAAATGTGATTTTGGTTTTAATAAAAATTGTGTTGTTTATACAGATAACGATAGACTTGGATATTGAATATTCTCAAAATGACAGCGGTGGTGATAACAACATTTATCGGAATCGGACGCTTTCGGTGTTTAGTTCACGGCCCGAATCGCCGACTGAATCAACGGACGAACGGCAAATGCTATTGGACGTCGAGCAAAACATCGCCAACCTGGAGAGGACTTTCACTGACAACCGGCGATTGGGCGGCTGTGGTGAACGGCAGGAAGACGGTGGTGGTGGCGGAAGCAGTGACAGCGCCGGTGGAGGTGCGCTCACCGGAACAGGAAGAACTCACAAGAAAGGCTTGTTCAATCGGTTCAATTCAGACAAAGGAACTGGAATCGACCGGAAGAGGTGAGACCCCACAAACTCCGGAGCAATCGAATCGACTCCGGAAACTAAATTGTAGTCTACATTAGGCCACGAAAAAAAAAAAAATTAATACTGCTAATATGGTATGCCACTATTATAGGTGGGAAGTTGAGAATGTAGGACACATAGAGTCATTTTTATTTGTACATGAACCTAACGATAAATTATTGTCAGAAATATGATTCTTAGGGAAGTTCGATTACATTGCGTAATTTTTTGGTTATTCATCTAAAATTCAACTTAAAATGTTCATACAAAAAAACTACAATATTGTACTAAATGTTATTTTCGGCCACTAAATAAGATTTATGATAAAATTTGTATTTAATTTTTAAGAATTTCCATTCAGCAAAAACATTGAGATCCACTTAAAGTTAAATAAAATTACAAATTTAGAACTATTAAATGCCTATAAATAACACAATTATTAAAATTGCCAACATATCTTGGAAATTTCACCATATCTAATAAAAAGCCGATATAAGTATTTTGTGAATATATAAGGTCTCTCTTTACAATTAGTTATAATTAAATTGAAAACAAAATTTGAAATAATGAAATCGTTATCGTAGTAAATTTATCGGTTTTTCCAGTTATTAAGAAAACTACAAAAACCTACTAAATATAATTTCCATTCGGAAAAAATTCTATATTTGAAAATTTGAGTAAGATATGTATAAAAAAATATACAGTTTAACAAAATAGTGGAAGTTTGGCGTTTTCAAAATCAAAAACTTTGCATTCAATCATACATTTAAAAATTTTAATTTCTTCTGTCTAATATTATGATAATTATAAAATAAAATATATTCTAAACACAATCAAAATATAATTGACCCCCATTCCTGTTCTCCCCATACCCCTATCGGGATCGTCAAACCCCAGTTTACCGGTGACAAATCCCTTAATCAAACTCTGAGAATACCCTACAGGAACTGCCTTCCCTACTTCTATCTACAATAGGGACTTGTCCTTGGTGTGAAGTATTTTCCATTATTTATAATTGCTTCTTAATTTTTCTTCCGAATGCATAATAGTAATAATAATAATATGTTGAAACTTTCTAATTGTATTGTACATATACGAAAGCACAGAAACGTATATGTTGCAATATGTGCTTATAAACGGTAGGTAATGAGTTTCATAACATAAATGAATACCATCATAATAATACGTAATTATAATATTATACAAACTACTGATTAAAATTGATGAAGTTTAATTTCACGGATATTTCGTTTAAATTGCATTAATTAATTTTCCCTTACACCTATACGTTTTGTATAATATAATATACATATAGGTATTATACTTACACCGCAGGAACGTAATTAAAATTAGCATTTCCATATATAAGTTTAAATGTGACAATGCGAAAATTAATAAATCGTGTTACGTATTCTTTGTATTTTATTAGAACAATATATTTTATGTATACGAATCCTTTAAAATATCTTTTATGTGCTACTTAACTGTCCAAGATACAGCCGATTTCCTTAGAAAGTGCTACGGAAATGGTTGCAACCATACCTCGAGATTTCAATGATTCCATTGGTTTAATTTTTTATTTGTTGATGCAATTATGCTTTAAACGTATACATTCGTCCCATTTATGTCCCATAAAGATATACCCATTGTATTATCTTCTGAGATAATAAAAATAATCGAATTCTGTTTTTTTTTTTTTTATAATTCACGGGGTTAAGGACTACAGATATTTATATTTCAATAAAACTGTATGTTTTTTTGGTAAAGAAATTTAAAAATTAACTTATTTTTTAATTATTTTCTAAACGTTTTAAGATAGCCATTTTATAGAATTTATTCTTTAGAACATTTTTACTTTTCAACTTTTTATTTTCATTAACTTCGTGGTTTTTAATAATTTTTTAGTATTCGGGGAAAAAAGCATACAGTCAATATTAGCCATAATAATATTAATTATTATTCCAATTAACTATAATTATGCAGCAAGTTTTAATCGTATTTTTCAAAAATAATAAAATAAAGTAATTTTTTTTTAACTTTTTCGCCAAAACAAAAAAAATTAATTCAAATATAAATATTTTTAGTGCTTATCTTTGTGAGTAATAAAAAAACAGAATTTGATTATCTTTATTATCTCAGAAGATATTGCAATTGGTATGTTAAGTGCAGTGTTTACATTTTTTTATTAGTTTCATTGTTATACAAAGTGTACAGTGTATACAGTGTTATCCTTATGCTAATAATTCTTTCAATATTCATTTTTAGATTCTGCGTTTAGTGAAGAATGTTTTGGTTTTACAAAGATGTTTTTTTTTTTTTTTATGTGAACAGTTTTTCTACCAGAAAGCTTAACTCGATTATTAAGTAAAGCACCTTTACTGAAAAAAAATTTCTCTGTGTGGTACTTTAAAGAGTTCGTTTTGAAATTCTCATTAATATTCGAGATAATGAGGAAAACCTTGTGCTTTAAGTTAAAAAAAGATTAAAAATGTTAAAAATAAGGTCGACATTGGCAACCGTTTTTATTTATTTTTTTGTTATTATTTTATCTTTTTTAAACAATCATTGTTGTCATGGAAACGCACATTTTAATCATTTGACCATAATTTATGATATATATATTATTGACAAAACAACACTATCAGCTGAACTCCGCTCAGAATTCTTTTTTTTTGTTAGCGATGGTTTATAATTGCTTACAGGTATACATTAAATTAACAATGCGAGAAAATAATAATCTCGATTTTCATTTTGAAAAAAATATTCTGATTATCCATAACATACACGATAAAACGGCCGAGCTACAATTTTTATTTTTATTATTTGAAATGCAATAAATTTAGTTACTATTTTCAAAAATTTGCAAAATTTCAAAATTAATTATTAAATCAACTAAATACAATTTTAAAAATCTGCCTCGGCCGATATCTCGTACGTGTAGTGAAGAACTATAATATTTTGTCAAAATTCAAATCGAGGCAATCGTTGCTGCATATTGTTGAAATTATAATCGTCGATTTGAGTGAAAAATAAACATTTTTCGTAATAATAAAATATTTATAATATAATCTGACATGTGCATGCGAATGCGTACCTACGCGCGCGACGTGCGCCGTATCTATGATTATTGTTGCCATGTTTCTAAAACAAAAATGAGATAACGATCCTATACATAATTTAGTATGTTTATATTTATAAAAATTTTGTTATGTTTGTAGCACAAAAATAATACATAATTATGTAACCGCGAATTAGGTAGCCGCCAATTGGTTTAGTCATGATTCCACACTCGTACAGTAAAACATTTTGTTATTTTGTTTTATTTCATTTTACATTAAAAAATGACTTCCAAATATAAAGCGAAAACTATAGTTCCCTTAACCAAAGAGAAAAAAAACAGCACTTTAAAATTTGACATAAAGAAAAAATACAATTTTTGATAAGAGTAAGATTTCTGTTAGCAAACATGAATTGTACAAATTTAAAATAAAAAAAATATATATAAATAAGTTTGTAAACATTTTGAAAATTTTGCGATAAATTTGTCCTTTTCGTTTTTTTGGGTTTTTCTCTATTATTACGAAAACCACCCGGGAAAAATTAAAAATTACTTTCTTACCATCTAGATCCAAAATTCGACAATAAAGGTCTTTTGTCATTTTTTGATTGGAGCAAGTTTTCTAGAATAAAAGTTGTTCACAGACACAAAAAAAAAAATCATAGAAATACCAGTACATTCCTAAAATTCCAATACTAATACATTCTTCGCTAGGTACGGTTAGAATCTACAGGTAATACGGCCGTGTTATAATAATATTGAACACCGTGGCTACCATTTAAAATGCTTAAACTAGCGGCTAGTTACTAGCCTATAACACTTCAACACCCGCGTGGTAACGAATTCATAGACTCCTCATTTGTTGAAATCGCTCTACAACTTGCGTCGTACATACAGAGAACGGAAATCATAAATTCATATATATTCCGTAGTAGTTAGTAGTAATCTGGCAAAACCAAAACAAATATTAATATTATAATATTATTATGATTATTGTATATAATATACAAAATGTAATAAACCTGAAAATAAATTTGAGGTAGCGATGCGACCTACTAACTATTACGATGATGATACGGAGGGTAGCGGTGCACTCATTTAAACGGACTCACACTAATGATCGTTTACGGCTAACACAGGGATACCGGGCGGTTATGGGATTAGAAATTACCTGAATTTTGCTCTTTAGAAAACGCTACTGCCGACGCCCCTACTGCCGATGTCTACAAACATTATTACAAATTTCAATTTGCATCTTGCTATGCAGTTTGATTTTCAACAAGATAATGTTCTTTCAATAATTCTGGATTACACGTAACCATTATTTTTATTTCATACCTATAGCATTTCCTACTTAAACTATATTCATCAATTTATATTAAATTTTATGTACGAATCTATAATGTATTATTTGTACATCGCTCATTTTATAAAATGAGTATTTATATAGTTGTACTTAAATTATATTTAAACGGAACCACGGTGGTCAACAAGTTAATATTTCATTAATTGCGTCATGGTGTTCAAAACGTTTACATATTAAATTGCAATATAATAATAATTATGTAACAAATTACCTATATTTAGTACAAACAGTAGTAATCAATATTATACATAGAATAATTTTAAAACTACTAATTACTGTTTTCAGGGTAAATATCTTTATAATTATGTTCAAAAAGCACTAATCCGTATGAAAATTTAAAATAAACTAATTATAATATTTTTTTCAAAAATGAATTATACAGGTGTTAAACAAAAAGTGTTGAATTAGTGTAGTTTTTAAAAGGTAAGTAAAAAGACTGAAAACCAATCGAATATCGAGTATCAAACAAATAGTATATATTATAATAGTACTGAACTTGAATATATTATTAAAAATGCAATTTAAACTTTAACTACTGAAATCCGATACGAAGAAGGTGCATTGTAACCAAATTTCCATAGCACTAATTTGGGCTTAAAACTTAACGTAAATTATGCATAAAAAAAATTATTGACTAATTTTAATTATTATAAATGTCAAAACGGGGTACAAATTTTACCCCAGTATATTATCCCTAAAAAAAAGTCTGTATTTTGAAAAGTTTAAAAGCACACAAATGGAGGGACTTTTAGTTCAAATCAGCACAAATATTACACAAAAAAGACGCTTGATTTTATTTTAGAATTTTAAAGTAAAGTTGAGATAAAAATGAAAATTGTTTTATGTGGTTGTAGAGTAGTTATTATCTAGTCTACAGTCTACCAAACCAAAGAAAAATTGATTATATACTTTTAGGTATCGTTTTTATATTAGAAACGTTCGCTATTTTTTTTTATAGTACGCGCAATTCTTTTTCCATACTTATTTAATTATTAATTATTATTTGATATTTTTGTATCATTTTTAAGTTCAAAGAAAAAAACAACAACAACAACACCGATGAACCATAGAGCTCGGTCACTAGAATCAAATTTTCCACCACCCATTTTTTATTATAGAAATATTCTTTATAAAACAACAAATAACTGAAACCATAATAATATAATACTATATTATACTCGTACGAGTATGCCTACAACAATACTACTCCAAAAAAAAAAAAAAAAAAAAGACGATATTTGAATATAAATTATATGGATAGGGGTTGAAAGCTAAAACCCCAAAAGGTACATTTTTGATAGTAACATCATGCATAAGAAAATTTCATTCCCCTGGTTTTATTTTAAGGTTTACAGTATTTACTAAAAATGTATGGTGTTCTAATTTTATTATAATATTATATTAGTTATTTGATAGGTATAGCATAATACAACACGGACATATGTCGGGGGAAGGGAGAATTTTGACCCTCAAAACCCACTTCAGATACGGCCTTGTACACGTGTGTTAACACGATTTACTTACCTACTAAACATCATTTTTTTGATTGTCGTATTCAATAACAGATTTTGATTTATTTTTTCAGCCGTGGCGCGGGTTTCAAAAAAGGCGTGAAAAACATAATTGGGGAATTCAGAATACGACACAATAAAAATTCACCGGACAAAGAGGCGTTGATAGATAGTGACGATAGTGCGAAACAGCAGGCCACGATAACAACTTATCAGAGGGGCCACGCAACAGAGACCAGTGACCTATCTTCGGATAACGAATCTGTTCATTCGCTCAACTCCGAATATACGCCCAAACCGAGAAAGTAAAAAATGACTGCGAGATAATTATAATATAATATCCTACCGGATAATATTTATTGCATGGTTCCCTACGTTTGAACTTTATTGTTTGGGTTTTTTTTTTTAAGTTTTTCTGTTTTATTTAGACCTTTAAAACACAAAGATCAGTTAAACGTAACGCAAAATGCGCTCAAATCTCAAGACTTTCAAGTGTGCGTGACCATAATCGAAGCCAGACAATTAGCTGGTCTAAACATGGATCCGGTGGTATGCGTGCAAGTCGGTGAAATAAAAAAATACACGAGCGTTAAAGAAAGCACAAACTGCCCGTACTACAACGAGGTAAGAAATTTAAAAAAAAAAAAAAGGTACCAATTATTAAATTTTGTAAATGATATCTTCGCACAAAAGCAAACGATCTCCGCAATTAATTGCACAAACAAACTCGTGGTAAAAAACAAAACCTATATCTTAGGTCAGTACTAATATATATAATTAAGCAAAGAAAAGAAGGACATAACTACATAAAACAAGTAGGAAACTTCGAATAAAATTTATATTGAGAACATTCTTCGAAAAGGATATGGGCAAATCAATTTTTTTTTTTTTGATAGTTTAAAAATAACGAGAACAACGATATAATAATATGAGTATAATTGGTTCTTTGATATTAATATTTTGTGTGAATTAAATAGAAATAGAAAATAAAAATCTTAAATAAGTCTATACTAATTTATATTTAATTTAAGGAAAAAATTACCTTAATAGACACTTTTAGTTTTCAAACAATTTTGTTTGTTATCTTAAACGAATTTTGTTATACTTCAATATACATATTATTTTCTTTAAAAGAATAATCGCTTTTTGAATAATATGTTTAATAAGTACGCGAAGACAATGATTGATTATTGACAAGCGCGATCCGTAATATTAATTCATTCGATTATTTGAAAGTATTGCACATTTTAATTTACTGTATATACATTTGTATCTTTAATCGTGCTAATGAATCAAATAAGTGATGTCACTTATCAGTACCATTTCAAAGATCATCAGCACCATTTAATAAATGAGAAATTATTTTTTTGCTATAACCTATAACCGTCATAAATCTAAATTATGTATCTAAATTTACATTATTGATTGGATATTAAAACACAATAGTAAGAAGTCGTTAAGGCAAATATATAACTAACGCTTAACAACTAAAATTTGATATTGAACGAAAAACTGGAAATTTTAGCAATAGAATACCTAATACCCATATAAAAGGTAGTTCACCAAGTGATTCATTTAAGTAGGTATATTCATTATCTCAGAAAATATTGAATTTTTTTAAGAAACAAACTGCTCTACAATTGTATATTTATGTTATTTTTTCATCCTTATTTTGGGAGTAAAACCAAAAGTCCACTTAAAGCACCTGGTATATAAAAACAAAATAAAATTTATTTAACATTTTCCGGCCGAAAATCGATTGTTATTAACGATTAACAAATAGGAATATCATATGAAATTATTCCGAAATAAATATATATGTTACAATATATATAAGTAACACTAATATTGGTAATTATTGAAAACACAGAACGATTTTGTTTGTAAACGGTACCTATGGCGAATAAGATACATCAAAGACAATACGATTATTATACAAGAATGACAGCTGGATATTATTATTATCAGTTTTACCGACAACTATAGAATTATTAATTAATAATTCGTAACTGTTTTGTATATTATGTACGTTTGTGGGTTTAATATTTTTACAATAACCATCATAAATATAATAACCTATATACGCATAAAAATAAAATTTAAATGTCTGTCTCTAACTATAGATCTATTTTTCTTTTTCTGAGTTCAAATGATGATTTCATTATTTACATGATACAAAAACCTACAAAACTAACTATTTTTATTTTTTCATAATTTTTATCAGTCTAAATTGTCTGGGTAAATATCGAAAACAAAAACAAATTGAAAAAAATGTTCCTTAATATTGTTATATGGTGGCACATAAAGTTGTTTATTTTATGAAAAATCAAAAATTTCCTACAATTCAGACGTCGGAACGAATGTGTTCAAATAAGCTCGTTGATCTGTTCAAAGTTTAAAATGTTTGAACAAAACATGGATTAAATGTATATTTTATTATTATGATTTATGTGTTCAACTTTAATAGGTTCGTTTATATTAATCAAATTTTAAAAACTATATTGATAATTTAAAAAAAACTCATACATTTTTTTTTTTTAGAAATAAAGAGAAGAATAATATACTTCATACCCTTATATTATAATTAATAAAATCAGTCTACGTAAAGTTATAAACGTTAATATTAAAATTAACTTAAATCTACGTCGATTTCTCAGAGATAATTTTTTTTACTAAGCCGTTGTATTTTATGTTATTATACGTACTTAATAACCATTCGTCTGAAATTTAATCCGACTTAAGTACGTTGTTCTGGAGTAGCGAGTGGGCGTAATCGATTCAGAAGTATTAAATTTCTTCCAGCGCCCCTCCGGGAAAAAAGTGTCGGCTAAGATGGATTTATTTCTGTGTAGGGTTCAAATTGATTTCTTCTGCTTTAGTCACTTATAATTATACGAACGTGCGATTTTACGTCAATTCTCAAGCAGATATAAATTTAACAATAATGGTAATCCTTTTGGTATTAACGTGGGTATAAGTGTGTGTGTATGTGTGTTCTTCTCTACCGACGAAACCGGACTTAATATTATATTACACAGTGAAAAGTAACAAATAATTTAATTACGAGCTTATCCCTGATGTCTGACGCAGTCATATCCCATGAGTAATGACTTATTATGACATCAGGAAACGTTCGTATAGTTTATGTTTATCCTCAGACCGAGGATTAAAATTTTGAACGTTAAAAATATTTTTATTTCAACAAAAAACGTTATAGATATACGTACCTACATTAAAACGACTCACTATTCAAAAACACACACTTGAAAGTTAAAACCTTAATTGAAGATCAAAGAACAAATGCAATATTTATACGTTACCAAGCTGTTATACATTGCAAACTATCGTTTCTCAGCAATTTTTCATTTATGTTTCCTTTAATCTTTCATCACTGCTGCTTCCAGCACCCTATAGCAAGTATTGTTTATTTTTTACTAAAATTAATACGTGCGAACTGGTGAACATTTTATGATGCATAGACATAGATTCAGCCTTATCGTTATTAGAAATTTAGAAATTAATACTTATTTATTTTTATATATTTTCGAATTTCCCTGACATTAAACTTAAATGGTCGATTTTTTCTCCATTGCATTATGATTTATAATTAATAAGCTTCTCACTTACCTAAATTCAATGGAATTCAAATATGTATCTGCTTTCTTAACACTCACCGCTGTAAAATAACATCCTTAACTAGTAGTTATGTGACATAACTTATGTCCATTACATTTCTGATTAATGTTAATTGACCTAGATCCTACATAATATCATCATTAGAATTGTTTGGTTTTTTAAAAATCTTATTCTTAAATAAATGAATTTAAAATTAGGTGTTTTGTGTTTTTTTATTTTTTATTACATAATATTTTATTTTATCTCTCTCGTTATCATTTCTCAGATTGATTAATAGCCACATTTTATTGTCGTTTATCATGCACTTACACTTTTCAGTAGTAAATGCTAACCAATCTAATCGAAAATCCTTACATAGTTCTTCCCTTAAAAGCTATTTCCTTAATAGTCAATTTCAACGGTTCTTGTTTTTATCACTATAAAATAACGCTCATTTAATGTTATAATACTATTAGTGTACCTACCGGTTTACAAAATTTAGTTACATCCACTCATAGCTAGATATTTGGTTACATCTTTGTGGCGATTTTTACCAATTTTACCCTAGGACATAACTAACAAGAAAGTTATCTTTATTCTAGCGATTTTTGAGCAGTTAACATTTTCGAGTTATTATAGTTTTTATTTGGTAGATATTATGAAAATAAAATTGTTCAGCCGAACATAAATGCTTAAAAATGTATTATTAGTTGTAATAGTGAGAAAAAAAATTGAGCGTAATGTTTTTTTTTGTAGCGTTTAAATTAAAATTTTGACGAAAATCATAAAAATTATGCCATTTCAAAACATATTTAACCGAACTTCACTCAGAATCGTTTTTCGTAAGAACTTATTTATTGTTGCGTACACATATAAATTAAACAACTTTATATATCTTACTTTTCTAACATTTTTTGTATTTGTTTCATCGTATCTGCTGCACAAATGATCCAGCTCAAACCAACATTAACAATCGCTTTTTTGTATATTTATTTTACACGTCCAAATAGTTTTAAACCCAAAAGAACTACTATTAAAACTGTTACGCCCAAATGATTCATTTCCCTATTGACAGTTAATTTCAAAAAACATTAAATTTGGTAAAATATTGATAAAAATTAATTTGTACAAAAAAAAGCTTAGTAAGTTAATTAAAATTTGACGTGAAGGGACTAAGACATTCAACGGCTTAAAAAACTTCTGGTGGGGTCAATCTCCCTTTAAGTTATTCCTGATAGATATCTATGCATGCAATCACTCGTATTTCTGAATATTTTTTTAAAAAGATTTATAATTTGTATTTAATTATAATATTATCATACAATATTCTATAACATTACTATTTTGAGCCTTTGAAAATATATTTTAATTTTATTAGGTATCTACCTACCTGCGTTATTTTAATTAAATAAAGTTCTATCGGCGTTATAAATCGTTTAACTTTAAGCACACTGTAATATTTATGTCTGATACTATTATAAAGAAAGTCCGCCGTCATTAAATTTTAATTGGATATAGTAGGTATCAATACGTTAACGCAAACGACCCGTATAGTTTGAATAATTCAAGACACACTGTTTAAAGAGTGAAAATTGCTAATAAAAAACTATTATTTAATATCGTTTACATTCCAATTTTTAAAAAAAATTTAGATCCTGAACTTCACGAAGAATATACTGGTTTTATTGAAATATGAGAGTGTAATACGTGATTATTTGATAAATCCATTTCTTCATCTGGCGTTTAAATAAAATAAAACTATTACAAAAAAAAAATAATAATAATATATATAAAAAAAAAAATAGATATATTTTGCACGTGGGTGCAGCCACTGTTGTAGGTGGGAAATTGGAAAGGTAGGATGCAGATGAGAATTAAATATATATCTGAAAGTAACGATAAACTATTTCTAACGTAAAACTGATTCTGAGCGGAGTTCGGTTGATAGTATTGTTTTGTCAACAATATATTTTATGTCATATTATGGGAAAATGATTATAAAGATGTGCGTTTCTATGACAACAATGATTGTTTTTAACGGAAAGAAAAATAAAACGATACCTAATAATATTTGTATTACCATAATAATAAGCTTCTTTCAAATTATCTTAAAATCTTATTTTAAGGTAATAATAATATTATTATACCCGATGGGAATCAGTGTTTATAACTTTGAAGTATTCCGGTAGAAATTTCAAAACATGTTCCTTTTAAACGTCAGATGCACTTGTTTTCGAATAAATATTAAATGTATAGATAGGTGGGCGAGTTACCTTGCTTGTTTATATCTTGTAGGTAAACCGGAATTTTATTTTCAACACAACAAACGGTGTCGGCACAGATGCGGTCAGCACATTTGCGGTCACGAACTTTTTGACGGCAATTGGGGTCACTCCATTATTTTTTTATGATATAATTACACGGACGTCCGAGATAAAACTTTATTTAATATAATAATTATCATATTTACTATTATTAATAGGTACTACATTATTATAATATTGTGACATCATTATTATTAATTTCACATGAGGACAGTCGATGTATGCAAGGTGGGAGATCGGATCAAATGGAAGTTTAGAACGAAGGAGACCGGCTGCAAATAGTCGGGGTGAAGGCAACGGAAAAGAAGAAGAAAAATAATAAAATATTAACATTTATTTCTTCGAAAATGAAATGATCTTATAACATATTTAACTTTAGTAATATTAATTTCCGTATTATTTATTTATTTACGAACAAATAAACCGGTAGGTTGGGTAGAAAATACATGTTCGCCTACAATTCCTCTGTAATAACTCAATTAGTTAGTAATTCAACTACTATAATACCCGTGTTATTATTCACCCGTTATATAATATAACCAGTAGTGCACGCAAGATATTTTTCGGGGAAGAGTTTTGTTTATAATAGTTTTCTAGAGAAGAGATAACACATATTATTAGTACAATACTATCACTATTATTACTAAATAAATTATTTTTGATAAAATTTAATTGTATTTTATTCTGTGGTACAAGATATAATGTAGTTGAATAAAAAACTGGATTTTAAAAAGTGTAGTGAAAGAAGGGATTTTAATCCTCTAAACCCCCTCACTCTGTGTGCGCCCCAAATATAACCCACACAGCTAATACCTATATTTAAAGACACAAAATACAAATATGAGGGATATGTTAACCTGAAAACCTTTCCATGTACAATTAGCTTGAAATCAACAGTCAATTTGTTTACAATCTATAGGTATTCTAATTTTTAATTTACTTATTAGATCACAATAAGTGTTCGGACGTCACAAAACCGAACATTTAAGATTTATTTAAAATCGGCTTTTTACGATTTCTATTAAACGTTGAACCTTAAACAGTTATAAAAAAAAAAAATTATTTTCACCACGAATTACAACTTTTAATGAAGCTTGTATTCAAAAAATGTCAGACTCATTAAGAAAAATGCCCATGTCTGTACGATTATTTTAAAATTAATTAAAAATAAAGAAATCAAAAACAACACCAATCTCGAATAAATATGCCCACTTTTCTTGTGTTTCTCTCCATTATCAAGAAAACTATAAAGAAAGGAAAACAAAATTAATTTCTCAATGCACCAACTTGACACAATTTTCTACCAGATCACCCCTGGCGTTGGTAACCGGAGCCAAATTTCTGGTAGGATAGTTATTAGCAGACAAAAAAAATGGTACAAACTATAGTAAATTTTAAAAATTATTTTTTATGAAACAAGCTTCGCTGGGTATCGATCAGTTTTAAAATAATATAGCAATTTATTATTCGACCATGGATTGCAAAATAATTTAGCTAAGAAAAGTACCTAGGTATTATGCAATATTATCTGGAAGTAAGTATGTTTGAAATTTTAAACTGTTTTATTTTAAATTTGGTCATTTTAACGTTTTGGTCAAAAAACTGTACTCCCCGAGTTTAAATAAAAAAAACAAACTTCAATGCATACTGTATAACATACAGTATGTATTATACACATAAATACATTGTAAATATCTGATAGTTTATTATTAATAGGGATTTAAAATTTAAAAGGATGTACATAGTAGTAGTGCGGTATAATTTTCAAGGAGAATTAATTTATTATAACATCATCTCGCCAACCACATAATATTATCTGACCACTGAAAGCGTATAAATAATAAAATTCTATTTGCAGTTGCTACTATAGTTCATATTTGAGGTCTGCGAGTAGAAATTGTGAGATAAAATTGTCCGCTTCCAGACTTCATAATTTAAATTATCCTATATTCCATATAATTTCACCTACAACAGCCTACCCATAATGGAGGTGTGTCGAAGTTTTTTTTTTATGAAATTATCGCATCACAAATCATTATACCTATTAAGTAAATTATATTACTTCATCAATATTACTACTTTATTCTATAAACATTTAATTTTCATCTGCACGCCACCATAAACCATTGATAACGAAAAATAATTCTGAGCGAAGTTTGATAATATAATGTGTTTTAAAATGTATTTTACAATTTTCGTCAGAATTAACCTTAAAATGCTCATAAAATAACATTATTGTTAATACATTACGCTAAACTTCTTTTTTCTCGAAACACTAAGTTAAATTTCTTATTAGCTTCGTATTAAAAATTCAAGTTTTTTAGTTCAGCCAAAATATTTTATCCACGTAATATAATATAAAAACTAAAAAAAACTCGAAAATTTCAAATGCCAAAATCATTAGAATGTTTTTAAGATTTTACTACATCTAAAAGGCTAATAAAAATATCATAAGAATATCGGATCTCTACAATTATTTTTACCGAGTTACAACAATAAAATAAAACCGAAAATAATGAAACTGTTATGCTGGAATTAATGCTCGACCGACGGTCAGCGTAGACGTCGGTTGAGCGTAGATATATCAATGAATGCATATGAACAAATACAGTGCACCGCTGAAAAATTAATACGCGCGTACAGCTACGTCGCGCTGATTACCGTCGGTCGAGCTTGTCCGTCACGCGTACGTCGATCGACCGACGGTCCATATCGATAAATGCTGGCGTTTAATTTGACGCTGATCGAGCGACCGACCGTGAGCCCGTACGCAAGTTTAAGTTTTTAGGTTTTTTAATTTTAAGCGTACAGAATTCACCTCTAATAACTAATAATTCCCCCCTCCTTATGATTACGCCACTTTTGTATCGGTCGTTAAATAATTTTTTGTACTCTTAAAACTCTTATAAGACTGTTAAAAATATTGTATTTGAATGTTCAAGTATTTCAAGTAGGTACCTACCTAACTATCTATACCTAATGGATCAAAGGAAACCTTTTAAATTAGGTCCTTTTTTCTTTTATGTTTTATGAAAATAGTTGTCTAATTTTATTTTATTTTATTTTGTATCGGTGAAACAACGAATTTTAAAATAAAAACGAATAGCAGGGTGAATTACGTGAATTTAAGGTAGGTGCGCGTGGTTTTATGTTCTTTTCACTCTGTTGCCTGTCGTATCTACAGAAAGAATCCTAAATATATACTCTAAGCAGTCTAAGCATTTTAAGTAAATGGTTTAGGACTACGATCCTAAGTTCGAATCGGTCACATTGAAGTACTTAAAAGCCTTCGAGTATAACTGGGTTACGGGCGACCAGAAAAAACCACAAGCAGGTGACACCATTTAATATTATAACCTGTAGTATAAGTGGTCAGGATTTCGTGTATCTAATCATAGTTAAGAAATATCATTGTACATATAATTCTTTTTTAAATTAAGGCTAATAATAAGACAAATTATTTCGGGGGAAAAAAAACTACCTACTTAAGAAATGTCTAGACAAGTTATGCGAATTAATAAATATTTTAAAAATACGTTAAAAATTGTAATATTTATAGATATTGAATAGTTAGATAGTTAGATAGTGATAGTTGAAAGTGAATTCGAACATTTTATCAACTTAATAACATAAGTTTTTTTTTTTGTGCATTTCAATATTGTCATAATAACAATGATCTACCCTAGAATTTGTGGTTTTTTAGTATCAAGAATCATCGATATTAAATGCAGGAGATCTATTCTGGGAATATTAAATTGTACTTAATTTAAGTTCGTACCTTCACATTCATTGGGAAAACATAAAAGAATAATTATTTATACGATGGAATCTATTCAAATAAAGTATAAATCGTAAGTTTAATATCGTGTTAAAATTTAAAAAAAATGGAGTTAATTTAACTCGGTATGATAAAACATAATTTCGATATTAATTAATTTAATGTAAAAACAAATGAGTTTAAGTTAAAAGTTGAATACTTAAATAACAAAATCAAAGTTTAAAGACTAAAATTAACATCAATTTTAACTTTTTAACGCGTAAATGCCCAGACTTTTAGATATTTTATTAATATTACATGTATAAAGACCCCACAATATTAGATCTCTAAAGTGCCAGATTTAACTACTGTGCCACTGTAAGCACAAAAAAAATTCCGCCTTTTGAAGTATATAAATAAATTATTTTATTTTATATTTTTGATAAGAACTTTTATTATTTTTAAACCATGAAATTATAATATAGTGTTACTATTATAAGAATTAGGTACATTGAAAATAATTATATGTTATTGACCCTTTTCTCAAATATTACAAACTATAAATATGAAATAAAATTATAGTATTAATACATGACCTATGTATTGTAATGGTATGGTAAAAAAAAAGTTATTTATTAAAATTTGTGCCAATAAAAAAAAAAAGTTATACTGTGGAAAAATACATTTTTTTAATAACGTTAAAATGATTAGTCTATACACTCAATGGCTTTCGGCGTGATTCCTGAGTTGCAAAATCGTTATCTATATCATCAAAATTAATTTCGTTAACTAATTCTGTCTCTGAAATATTGCCGCTTTAAGCATGAACTAACTTTGTTTATTGGGAAATACGCCTCTAGATCTCTTAGACTAAAAATGTTAATATGAAAAATCTTTCATGTAAAATCTTAAATTCAGATCTCATAGTAGTTCTGTGTAATTCTATTGTAATGTAATGTCACCATATTTCTCTTTGTAAAACTGTCATCAAGCATAAATAATCAAACATTAATATTAGGAGTTTAAAAAGAAATCCTTCGTATCATATATTATTTACATTTTACTTTTTTAAGGTAAAGGAACAACTCATTTTGCATATGGAAGCGATTTTCGTACAATATTAATTTGAAAACAATGTAAAATTATATTAACTTATATTTTCCTGTATGAAGTACCTAGGTAACGAGCTCGTATACGCTATTTGTAATAATTCAAAAAATTTAAAATACCTTGACGAAAAATATTTATTGAAGTATAATAATAATATGAAATGTACTGTAATAAAAAACGATAAAAAGAAATACGGCCAACTTATATAGATACTTAAATATTAAAATGTATATATGTATTATGTATAATATATCTTACGAGTGACAGTATGTTGAACATTTTAAAGATCTCAACATTAATGTGTCACGTGCGTAAATATTTCATACTATGTTCTGTTTCTTTAGGTACACGGGACAGAGAAATAATGGTTCATGTAATAGAGTAGTAATAGTATATTTTAACAAAATATGAAATAATATAGAAAATTCGCATGAAAATTGTTTTCGGTCAAACCATAAATTCAATAAAGGACGGATTTCTGCTGGTTTTTTTGTCTATATATGAGAATTATTTAGGTCGTAAATCGATTTTAAATTTAATTATTTATATATATATATATATATATGTATGTATGACCTATATCTCATTTTGTTACACACCGCCATAAATGGTAAAATATAAATACAAAATTTAAAAACCCGGAAATTCTTCACACCCCGAATGGATCACTGTTCTAGGTGAGGCGTAGGGAAGGTATAGACTATTATTTATCATTTACATACTGAAAACAAGGATAAATTATTGCCATAAAAAACGATTCTGAGTTGTGCTCGGTGTAGAGCTACAGCTAGAATATAATATTTGTTGTGTTCTTACACCTTGTAGCTAAGAAAACCCAGAAATCTACAAAAATAAAACCTACGGCATCTAGAGATTTTATATTACGTTATGTGGCACCGGCATTATAACAAACTGTGATATCCCAGTTATAGTAGTTAATAGTTAAAAACTATCACATTGCGTCTCTTCTAGACAAAATGATATCACAGATACGATGTTTCTCTCTTACCATAACTACAGCCTTTCATAATTGAAATGGAAAATCAAATTATGTTGGCCTTAGGAAACTATATTTACATTTATGACTATTTGATTTTGATCACCCGACACATGTTCTAATGCAGTTTTAAATTTCATAATGAAATTAATAATACTTTTTGTAATGATATTTGAAAATATCTTATAATATCTATAATTACATTAGTATAACAATAATTTAATTAAGTATAAATATTATAAATAAACAAAACAATAATCACCCTTTTTAAATCATTGGCTATAGCTCTCGGCGATTTTTCAATCCTTGACTACCAGGTAAATACATTTTATTTACCTACTCGAACATAAATTTTATTAATTCCTCATCATCGTCCAAGTAATAAACGTGTAATTATTTCGGATTGTGATTTAGCAGTGCAGACAACGACCTGAGTGGTGGTACTATACTACTTTAAATATCGGCGTTTAGTTTTCCACAATATTTCCTGGTGCTCCGAATGAGGTCATGAGAAATTTTCACGTTTATTAAGGTCTTTTAAAAAGTATTTAGAAACACTTGAAAAGCTTTCCAAAAGCGTTTTAATTGGTTCTGGCTGTATATCAATCAAGGAATACGAACAGTTCCACTTGAACAACGCATACCAATTAAATAATTGATTCATCTATTGTATTTTTATATTAAATTAAATGTACAAAGTAAATTAATTATTTGTTAACATATTAAAGTACATAAATACTTATGTATATTATATATATATACTTATATTATATTATAATATATAGTTATATATATTATTATATATTAAAGTTACCTTTAAATTCTATCGCTTTCCAATATAAACAAATAATAACAAAAACAGCACTCATTGTGTCAATATAAACTTCGCAATCATCTTAAAATGGATGTTTTTGTTTATATGAAAAAGCAGATTGACATTTTACACGTGTAAATAGTATACATCACTTAAATGAAACCATCTTAATAAAATATTACTTTAATGAAGATTATTTGTTTATCACCAAAAAATCAAAAACGAATTATTTAATGTTTACTTATGCTATTTCAACTGAATAACTAGTTAATCTATACATATATATATATATATATATAATATATAACTGAACAATAATTTAGAACTGTTAGAAACACAAAATGAGGCATAATCTCAGCAGCCAGGATAATTATAATTTACATAGAAGTATAGACAAAATTAATAACTTTTATTTAATTGTTATGTAATTATAACCAAAAAAAAAAAATCATACCTATATGGATACATATAGGTATGTATAACCTGTCACTTAAAATATTATTATTAGAGTGGGAACTGATACTTTAAATTATAATCTTTGAAAAAACATTTTATTTTAAAATTGTATTTTTAATTCGTCTCATATTGTGGTAATAAACCAATTAGTTTGTAGCGGTGTATCGTAGCAGCAATTATACCATATACGAATATTGAAATTCTCATCAAATAATTAATATCGTGAAAACCAAATAATCTCTAAAAAAATCAATAATAATAATGACTTATAATTTTTTCCCTTAACAAAAATATATAACGGTTTTTGTTTTTAACGATAAACAAAATATAATCAAATGAAAATTGAATGTCGGTTGTACAATAGATTGTTTTTTCTTTAAATACATTTATAATAAAAAAAATAATCAGTGGTCGATGAATATAAAAATATTACTTTTAAATTAAAACAAATGTTTGGAAAAATGAATTTGGTCTTCATGTTATGAAAAATAAAATAAAAATTATTTAACGTTCAATGATATCGCACACCTATCGTTACATTTCAATTGAACAAAAAAAAAATATGTTTTATAATTGTATTCATTTCTTTCTCCGAAACGAGATGAAACACAATATTATAACGTTAATTTATTTAACTCACAGCAAGTATTTTGTTTTATAGTGAATACAGAACGATTCTTATTTCATAATTCAGCAGTTTTCTAGAAGAATTTTAATTAATTTTGTTTAGTATTTTCCAACCATTGTGGAATTTCACATATTTATATACTATTTATTTTTAGCCCTGCTTTTCATACCCTAAATTAGTATTAACATTTGATTTTGTAATAATAACCTACCCTCCTCCCCCGTCTTCAAAACATAGATTCAAAAACCCTTTCTCTACATTTTTAACAACTATACAACAAATAAATGGTTTTATGGTTTTAATAGTAATGAATACTTAGGTATCAAAATGTTTAAAAAAATATAATCATCGAATCTAAAAGAATAGAAGGGTAGCCATTTTAAAATCAAAAGTATTTACTTAACGTGTGTGTGTATAGTGTACGAAATAAACGTAAAAATATAAAAACATGCTCATTTAACAACTACTGAAAAGAACCAAAATCAATTTTACTCTAAATCTTCACTGGAAAAATCTCTCGTATTTTTACAAAATTTAAATAATTATGATAATGTCAAATGGAATAATTCTGTAAACCGTAATTGCGTGGTATATGTCACAAACGCATATTAAATCTTTCGTTTCGATTACAATGCAAGTTTGAGACACATAAATGAATCGTTTTTTTTACATTATCTTGGATTATTATAGAAAATATTCATACAGTGTCTATCTAACATCGGAGTTGTTTTTCCTTCTATAATTTACAAGTATACGAAGATTTTGAGTAAAATTTGTTTTAGTTTTTTTCCAATTATTTAAATACCGTTTAATGATTTCACTCACAATATATTTACCCTTTCCGTACTACAAATCACGTCAACAACACTACTTCCATTTCAAACCAAAACGAAATGTTAATTTGCATAACACTAATATCGAATAAACTGTTTATGAATTATTGGATTATAGCAGTTTAAAATGCCAGAAAATTAGAGAAAGGTTAACACCTAAAAGTTGAAATGAAATGTGTTTACCTTTCCTACTCCACTGGTATAAATTTAAACTTGTTATATACTATTCATTATATGGTATATCCGATAATTGTGTAAAATTTATATTTTTAGATAAAAAACGTTTACTCTTACCATCGAATTGTATGCCAAATATATTACCTATAGTCTATAAACAAAGTTCAAGTAATTTTAATAATAATCATAATTAATACGAATGAAAGCGATTAATTTTTCATATGGTTGAATCAATAAATAAACTAGAGTATAATAAACAAATTAGAAGTCTAATTTATGTTTTTAAAAATTACACGACTCGTATTTTAGATTCTGAGTGTAGTGAAGGGTGTATTGGTTTTACAAAGATGTTTATTATTTTATTTTTTTTTTTTACACTGTGTACAATACTTTTACCAGAAATCTTGCTCCGAAGTATCAAATATAGTACTTTTTCTGAAAGAGAATTTTCTTGGGATAGTACTTTAGGCGAAGTAATTTTTTGATTTTCCCAAAGATTTTCATAATAAATGGGAAAAACCTTTTTGGGAAAACCATTTTTTTCGGTAAAAACGGTTGTACCTTTTATCCTCGAATGGATGATATCATGTAGTAGATTAGGGAAAAAAGTGGTATCATTGAGGTATATTATAGGTAAAAATAATTTTCTAATTTTACCAAACTGAAGAAAATATGGAAAACCGTTTCCAATTTCCCTTAACGAATATATTTAACAAAATTATCATTACCAAACAATATTATAATAATATTATTATTACATATATAGACTTCTTTAATTTAATTTTTTTTTTTTTTTCCAGTATTTTGTATTTGATTTTCATATGCCAACCGTGATGTTATTTGACAAAATCATAACGCTGTCGGTAAGTCATTTTCACGTTATACATTTATATTTACAATATTCTGTTTACATAATATATTGTTATTAATTTGTTATGTATTCGTTCCATGTAATAACATATATTCATATTGCGCCAGTGGACTGTTCATCATTTTAACTATACCTAAACATTAATATTATTTTTTGACGAAATAACATTTTTAAAAACTATCCGTTTTTTGTCGAAAATAATATTTGTATATAGCTGAAATATTACTTAACAGCAACTAATTCAGTTATTTTTTTTATCTAATGATTGATCTCTAAGTCTTAATTGTTTTTTTTTTTTTTAATAAAACAATAACCTAAAAATACCTGTACACTTCGAGAAAATTATGTTTTCGTATTAATCAATTTGTTTTCCACCAACTAAAACCAAACAAACTTAAGGAGATTCGAAATAAACGAGGATTCCTTTATCTTTCTTTTTCTTACATACACGCAGTTTAATCGGCGAAAAAAAAGTTTAACGACACTTAATAAGCAGATAGCACAAATAATTAGTACAACAGTCGGTGAACAAAAAGACGATTAAACCAACACTGTCAACTGTGAAGGTCTCGTTTACATAGTATACATAGTCGTCATAGATCTGTTGTTTATGTTTTGACTACTACGAACCACCTATGACAGGCTCACGGGATCATGGCTGGTTTAAAACCACTGTGTTAGACAATGAAAGTTAAGGACTCAGTGGCGTAAACAAGGTAGCGGCTAAAAGAGCTATACAAGCTATCCCCCCCTGAACTGTTTTTATGTATCTATACTATTTTAAAATCTGAGCGTTAACTACTTTTCCAGTTATTTCTTCTTGTCCTGAAAGAATATTTTCTACATTGAACTGCATAGAAATTTATTATTTAAGAAGTACTATTATATTAAAAAAATATTCGATGGGTTAGCCACACAAATAAAAATAAAAAAGACGTCCTAGGATAATAAAGACGGGTGCAACCATTGTTATAGGTAATTTAATATATCTGTAAGCAACGATAAACCATTGCTAACGAAAAAAACGATTCTAAGCGAAGTTCAGTTGATAGTGATACTTTATCAACAATATATATCTGTCATATTATGATAAAATAATTAAATAGGCATTATATATTTTCTTTAATTTTGTTTAATAATAATATTATACCTTTCCGTTTTTCCCGTTTTTTCACACTTACTGGAAAAACACTTGGGAAAATCAAAAGATTACCTCTCTAAAGTACCATGGAGATAAACTTTAATTTCAGAAAAAGAGCTTCACTTGATAAATCGGAGCAAGATTTCTGGTAGAAAAGTTTGCATAACAAATCGAGGGGTATTTTGTCTTGTGAGGTACACGCAAAATGCATTTGTTTTTTCCTTGTTTAAAAAAGGAAACCTTTTAAACTCGAGACCCCCTACATAATAATAGACATATATAAACATTAAATTACGACAAATTTAAGAGACAATTTAGAGTTATTTAATATAACATATAATATCCGCATAATATCAGAACTTCAAAAAGCTATAATTTCGAAATTTAGTTAGTTCGCTCAATTTTAACTTCACTATCGTTCTTAAATTGGCAATATACACATGTTAAAAAAAAAAAAAAAATTGAAAAATTAGATTTGTTCCACATAATTTTTTACTCAAACGTTTTTCGTCAAAATTTGATATTAAAAATCTTTTTAAAAAAAAAAAAAACTACACTAAGTTCCAATGCTTTTTATTTTACCACAAAGTACTACATTTAATGGACCTCCCGTTCAATTTTCAAACATTTCTGTTTAGTCTAACAATTTCATCCACACAGTGCCTACCAAACAAAAATTATGCAAGAATCTCACAAAATTAAAATATCTATAAATTACTCAAAAATAACCAAAATGATTTAAACATTTTACAATGTTTAAAAAAGGCAAATATTAGTGCCCTGACAAAATTTTATGTCTCTACGAATATTGTAAAAAATTTGAAAAATAATAAAAACATTATTTTCGTACATTTACTATTTTCCTTGCGTTTTATCCTGGTTTTTCCCAGATATTATGAAAATCACTTGGAAAATCAAAAAACGATCTCCTAAAAGTACCATCTCAACAACAATCCCTTTTAGAAATAGGGCCGCACGTTTATATCTGAGCAAAATTTATGGTAGAAGTTTTGTACACAATATAGGGAAAAAAATAAACATCTCAGTAAAACCAGTACATCCTTCACTACACTCAGAATCTAAATATCTAAAAATTATATAATCACTATTTTTGCTCAAAAATCTCCTAAAAGGATATATAGCTGTCACTATAATTAGAAAATGAACCGAGATATTAAATTCTTATTTCGTTATTGAGTTTTTTTTACCAATTTTGATCAATTCTGTTGAAATGCATATTGTTGAAAACACGTCTTTTAGAGGGGGTAATCGAACCCCACAAACTCGCTAACCTATACCCATGATTCAAGTAAAAACTTGCTTAATTATCCCTCATTAAAAATCCTGGTTACGCCACTTGAGGAAATCTCCGTTCCATTTCGAATCCCCTTAACATTTATGATAAATAATTTAATATTTTTATAAATTTACAGTATTTTAATAATATATTTAACAATAACCAGAAAAAAAATGCGAGCGTTCAATTTATTAATTAAAGAATATTAAACCATCCGATATACTGCATTATAATATTTTGAGTTATTCGGTTATTCAAATTTACTTTTTAAATGGTTAATTTGGTTTTGACTTTTTCCTATAATTTTACAGTTTAAAAAACATTTGTGGTTATTTTAGTAAAAGTTAATTGCATTTAAATATTCATAACAATCGTATAATGTATAAATATAATGCACAATGTCAATAACTACAATTATAAAAAATAATTTTAATTACAATTTACACGAACCAAAATATATTCATAACATAATATTTTTAACCGTTACCTATTTTAAATACTAATTGCTAATTAATAACACACACATTTTATAGCATATTATATTATGCTGTACATTTATTATATACATCGAAATGATTAACTTGAAATTGAAATTTTTAACGAATGTATTATATTTTATATAAGTACTCATAGCTTATCAAAAATGTATATGATTGATGATTAGATGAAATTAATATTTTAATATTATATTTGTAAGTCAATGCTCTAACAATGCGTAAATACATTGAAAAGATATATTTTCTTATTATTTTTTTTTTCTTTATAGTATTTTCCTTTAAAACATGTGTCTTTATGAAAAATATTCAGGTTTTGCATTCTAAAAAAATTCTAAGGTCGGGAACGGTGGTTGGATCGTTCAAGATCGACTTACACACCGTCTATGACACGCCCGGTACATTGCACATACTTTTTTTTCTTAATTTCATTTATTTTTATTTTTATTTTTCTTTTTCTTTTTTTATAATCATTTATACACAGTTTTTTTTTCTGTATATCAACCACGTAATGCAACATGATATAATACACAATATAATTATTCTTTCTCTGTATATCTTTTCTCTTGTACACATACCTACACTATATATACTCCACGCACGCCACGCGAACATACACAAATACATACAAACTCAAACACACATATACGCGTTTTTAACCATATTATTTATTACATGAAATGGTACACGAATTTTGACTTACGTAAGTTTGCTTGTTTACCGTGAATTGTCTTATAATACTGTGGTCGTATAAGTAACTCGAAATAATCCATAATAATAATATGGCGTCTCCAAAATGTACCAACACAAAACCATTTATAACGCTTGCGATATTAGTATATATTACAGTCTGTAGTGGCATACCTACAATACAGGATTTTGGCCTGATAAGATCACGGAAACACGTTATATTATTATTAATACAACGTAACAACCTAATATTTTTGGGATTTCCTCCTCGCGGTGCACCCTGGGTAACTCTAAATAAACTGGGACGCATTCGGGCTACGATGAAAAAATAATCATTTTTTTTTTTTATTGGGACGCATTCAGATGATGGTCACATATTCCGGACGCACTCGGGACATTAAAAAATAATCATTTCGGGATGCACTCGGGCAACTCTGATTTTAAGACAAGGTGAATCCAACCCCCATTATTTATTACTTATTTCTACAAAGATTTCGAATGCATTTGATAGTTAGTCTTTGATGGCTGCGAAACCTACTTTTATATTTGTTTTAAAAATATCCGTGTAAATGTTAACATGGTTAATATAATAATTGAGATTCGTATTTCATATATTATAATATTATATTATTATAATGTTTACATTTATTGCGCCTATCATCACAGTTTTGAATATAAACATGTGAACTTGTTTTTTTTTTTTTTTTATTATTATTATAGAATCCTTTAATGATCATATTGTTATTTACGATATTTTCACAATTTCACCCTTATTCTCTACACCGTAAAAACACATCATACTAGTATTATAAACTATTGATTATTTTCAAATAGCCGGTCATGTTTTAAACTACGATTTGAAAAGATAATTTTTTTCTAGGAATATTGATATTATGCATTTATGCGTAACAGTCCACATAATATCGGATTATATTGTTATATGAGTTATAACAATTTATGGTTTACGCAAAAGTAATATGGGGGAAAATAATTCATCTAAACGCAAATAGTAAAAATTATATTAAAACCAAATCGAATTTATTCAACACCTTTGCTGATTCGGTACAAAAGAATTACCCTGTATAGAAACCCAATCTGTCTAACAATAATAATAGTATGTTTGTGCTTTCGTGTGTGTTCTAGAACTAACATTTTATATTACACGATAGGTATTTAAAAAGTCTATATTACTTATTTGTATTCGTTAATTTGTTTATTTTTATTGTTTATTTGTTGAATATTTTCTGATTTTTCGGAATGCTTTAAACAATTTTTAAGTTTATATTTTTATTTAAAAAAATATTATACTACCCATAATCTATATTTTTGTACTTCGATCGACAACCGAATACAAAAAAACCAACTCACATAAATACTTAAGATTAGATTAGGTAACTGCGTGTTGCTATAAATGCATATATAAACAATCGTTATAAGCTATTTAAATATAAAATCAAAGATGGGTCATGATTTTTGTTTATTTAAAAAAATATAATGTACGCAAAACGTACGCGTATTAAAAAAGTATAAAAAGTAAACTAAACATTTTTATTTTAAAAAGTGTATAGTAAAGTTATTCCGGGATGCGATTGGGATTTATTGTATTATTTGTATTTATAATACAAAATTCAAAAATTATAATAATAAGTATTAGTTAACATCTTTTTTTGATGTTAGCTGATACCCAACAACAATAATACAAATATTAGTCCATACATTCTTATATTTTCTATTGTTCTTTTCATTAATAAATATAAAGGATGTCCCACAAAAAAAAACCTAATGTATTATCTCTAGCGATAATAATGATAAGCAAATTCTGTTGTTTTTCTTTTTTCATACTTACAAGAATAAAACTTACAAATAACATTTATGCTCAAATTTATTTTTCATATATTAGGAAAAATTTGAAAAGATAACTTTTTATTTTATTATTTTTATAAACTTTGGAGATTTGGAGATAGCCATATTATAGAATTTATTCTAGTGAAAATATTGAGGTTTCAACTTTATTTTTCAGTAAATACGTGATTTTTAATCATTTTTTTAAAGTTCTGAGAAAACACATGTGCAGCCAATTTAACCATAATAATAATATTCAATTAGCGAATATAATTATAACCTGCTGCATAATTATTGGTACTTTTTTCTGAAGTAATATTAAAAAAAAAAAAAAGAATTTGATTATCTTTATTATCACCGGAGATATTTCAATGGGCATATCTTCGTGGAGCACTCTGAATAGAAAAAAAATTGATGGATTTAAAATCAATCGAACTTAAATTAATATCATTATTTATCATATTATCCAGACAAAATTAATATTCCTAAACCGTTCAACTGTACATTTTTATAAAACGGGTATCTACTTTATAATTATATAGGTAATTTAATTTAACGCGTTGAATAATTATTTGTTTTTATTTTTTTAGTGGGTTTAAATTTAAATTACAGGTTGGCAAAAAAACTTTAATAATAAAATAATATAAAGTAAGCATAGCGTAATATTATAACAAAGGTGAAAAAAGGTTTTTTTTTATTATTAAAATTCGTAGATTACGACAAAATATAATTTAAATTGGATTCTTTCACACTTATCCCGGATGGCGGCTTTTATTTTACGTTTATAATATTTTGTTATTATTATTACCTGTCAAGAGTGTAGTTCTGACGGAATTAAAATATGTTTAAAAAAAAAAACATAATATAATACCACCTTATGTCGATAGTACGCGTGTTTGAGAAAAATATAACGTATAAACTGTATTATTTGTATTATAGGCAGGTTATATTATATTTAAATATAAAAAAATAGCATTTTAATATTTAAATCGTCTAGGTAACTTATTAATACACTTGTGTAATAGTTTGAAATTCGTGGCGCAACATCGTCGTCACGTTATTGTTTAGTACGGATTCGTCCTTACCCGCGCATAAAATAGAATTTAATCTTTAGATAGTACGTGCACATACTTATTTCAAGTTTGTTTCGACATATTCAATTCGTGAGTTGATATGATTATTATTCGAAGCAATATTATGTATATGTACAGGGTGATTCACTAAGTATGCTCACCTCATCTTTGTTGGTTAAATTTTGTATACCTTTTTTCAAATTCTAATTTTTGGAATTTTTTAATTTAGTTAAAGCCGATATTTTTGAATACTTAGATTTTTTACGACATTTAAGGACTATCCTTTTAATGTAATACCAACTTTGATTTTTCAGATAAGAACTTATATTAAAAATTCCATAAATAAATGGAGTATCACACAAATGGTACTCCGCCACTACTCTTCCCTTACGTAAACTTGAAAATAAAATATCTCATTAATGGAAAATGAAAATGAAAAATCTCGACACCAAAATGTATTTAAATTAATACTCCGTTTATTCGTGCAATTTTCAATATTTCAATTTTCATGTTCTCGTTTGAAAAACCAAAATTGGTATCGTCACAGGATACTGCTTAACAGTTGTGAAAAATCTAAATATTCGAAATTATCGGCTTTAACTGCAGTTAAAAATTCCAAAAATCAGAATTTGAATATATTGCAAAATTTAACCGAAAAAAATGGGGTGATTCATTCTATACAAATATGTATATATATATAATATACGACACACGTACACTTTACACTTGTACGTCTAAATTACGACGGAAAGATAAACCCTCAGTCCGTAGTGTATAGCATAATAGTCCGTGTTTACCTATAAAATAAAAATAATAATTTCACGTGAAATGCATAATATTATATTATTATAACAATATTGTTTTGATTTTATACGCCGACACATTTTGTACCGTTTCGTCGCACGAATCGCTGGACTTGTATTTGTTTTTTTTTTTTTTTCTTGTGTTTTCTGTCTGTCTGTCCGTCGAAAACTCGCAAAAGGTCTTACAATCCAGACACATATTAAAAGCGTCGAAACTGTGGGGCAGCTTTAAATTAGACGTTGGCACCGTCTGGTACCAGCCAGGTACATTATACCGATAGACATTATAGTAAACTTCCTAATATATATATATAAATATATATATATGAAAATTGTATAGAAAAAAAAAATTTATAATAATAATAATGATACCTAATAATAATCATGTACAATGTAGATAATATTAAAAAGTATTGAGTGTACCTATGTATATTAATATGTATAGTTTTGTTTTAATTCGTTTGGTATTTTTTTTTTTTTTTTCCGGCAACGATATGACCTCATAATAATATATTATCGTACCTATACTCGGCTGTATTATATTATACTATATACTCACATCTTATAATATTCCGCAACAGACATCACAGTGCTGTATTTTTGTATAGTTCATTTTTCGTTCTCGCGTATTACATACCATACAGTATACACGGGTATATTGTGTTGCCGACCACCGTCGTCTCATTAATTTTACCATTTGTTCGCCGCATGCATTCCATCCCCACGTATGTAGTGTAGATAGGTACCTCCGTGCCTAATACGTCATAATATAATATTTGATTCCACCGCCCCTTGTACGTAGTTATGGTCCCTCTGTGTATTTTTTTTTTTCACTTTTTAGCATATTTTCCTTTTCTCGTAACTATATTCACTACTATATTATATATTTTATTAAAACTTCAAAACATATTTACTTGTAAAATACTAGGTAAATATATTACATTTTTCTTTCGTTTACTATTTATTTTTTTTTTTTTTTTTTTTTTTTCGTATAACGCACTTAAATATTTTTATTCTTAGCTGTCGGCGTGCAACGTGGGGCTGTACCTCCTTTGCTTTTCCAACCGGTCTTTGACGATTTGCATGATGGTTTTCTTATAACAAATAAGTAGGCACACGTCACCGTTTTCGATTTGTTCAAAACCTTAGCCGAGATCTATTTGAACACAACTAGTTAATATCACTATAGGTTTTAACATATTATTGTATAGACACGTACTTAACGAACGCTATTATGTACGAAAAAACTGTGCAGAAATCGGGGAGGGAAGAATAAGTCTACCTAAATATTTTATTAGCCGCCTTAAAATTGGTCGTGTTTCATATAAATATGTTATATTCTTTTCACGTTTCAGAACTTTTCGCATTTTATTCCCCCAGAAATTTTAATGGATTCATATGGTCATATTAACGGCTAGGTATATTAACGAGTAAAAATGTTTATCAACTTAGCTTTTAACTTTTGATTGTTTTATATTAAACTGAAAATAACGATGTACTTTTTTTCTTTTAATTTTAACATGAATTTCATTTATAAAACTCAAAATAAATTTTCAGAATTGTTTTTTTAAATTAAAAATGTTTCTACTTGAAATCGTTAGTTAAACTATATCGAAAATAAGCTATAAGTATGTTACAAATATTATTATAGTTTTTATTGACGATCGATTGCGGTTACTAAACTTAGTGTGCGCAATTGATCGTTTGATATTTTAAATAGCGCGGGAAGGAGGTGTACTCAATATAGACCCACTCATTTTACTTATAGATAGGTATATAGGATATACAACTTAGCTTTTGGAAATTAATCAAATAATGAAAACCGACTTCATAATAAAGGTTCCGAACAGGATGTCCCGTTTAAATTATTTATACCGCCACTGCCGCACAGAGAAGGTTAAAATAATCATTGTACATTTCGTTACTGTAATAATTAGTTCTCGAAATGTTTAACTAACGAAATGCAATTATTATGAAGGTAGTAGAATATAAATCATTACCCCGTAGTACTCAATATTATATTTGAATACAATTTCAAATACACAAAAAATTCGTATACATCTTGTATATAAGTATATAACATCCTTAAACGCTGAATAGCTACGAATACTATTCCTTCGTCATCACTTATATTTTTTTTATTTGTAGATAACTTTTCTACCAGAGATCTTGCTCAGATTTTTAAGAGTAGCACCTTTTCTGAAAGGAAATAGGTGTGTGGAGGTACTTCTGAGAGGTTAGGCTATTTTTATAGGCGGTCATTTTTCGATTTCCTAAGAAGTTTTTCAAGCAAATGTTACAGATCAGGAAAACATGGAAAAATCAGATCAATGTTAAAAAAGACGTCCTAGGATAATGGGGACGGGTGCAACCACTGTTATAGGTAATTTAATGTATTAAACGATATTATTTACGAAAAAACAATTCTGAGCGGAGTTCAGTTGATAGTGATACTTAGTCAACAATATATATGCCATATTATAATAAAATAATTAAATAGGCTCCATATATTTTCTATAATAATATTTTTTTAATGTTGTACCGATTTCCCCGGTTTTCTTATGTTTTCCCCAGTTTATCACATTTGCTGGGAAACCTCTTGGGAAAATCGTAAAACAACATCTCTAAAGTATATCTCCCCAGTGAAATGTCCTTTCAGAAAAATGTCTATCATTAAAAGTTGAAGCAAATATTCTGGTAGAAAAGTTGTCTACAGGAAAAAAGAAGGCCATAATATTTTTAGCTAATACCGACATCTCTTACATTTTTCCGTTTTTTTCGGTTTTTCGTGACAGACAAGATTTCAAGTGAAAACGATTTTGATTTTTCCAATCATTATACAACTATAAAATGATCTTACTACAATGTTTTCAAAATGTTATCCTAATTTCGTATACTATCAATATCTACATGTCAGCGTTATCAAATATTTTATTTATAAGTTTATGAGTTGTAACAGTTTAAAATTTAGACCAAGTGACTGTGAAAAGCAAAAGTTGACATGTGTTTATGGTGTACGAAATTAAAGTGAACAATTTTAAAAATATTGTAATTGTTAAGATCATTGGACATTTCAAAAACTGAAAAACAGCCAAAATCAATTTCTTATTCCTTCTCAAAATCTTTATAGATAATCGCTGACCATGATAATAAAATCACTCTGATTAGTAATCGAAAAACGATAAATAAATGATCAATATAAAATATAATTATTCGAATAAAGAACACACAAACTATAATATAAATCCAAAACAATTATTATAACTTATTTTCAATAACAAGTTTACTTTTTAAAGACGTATTTCATAAAAAAGAAAAGTTCTGAAAAACGAGAGTAACGAAATCATCAAGTAAATATTTTATAAGTGGATACTTTTATATTATTATAATTTTAAGGTCTGTTTAAATACCTATTTTCTTCTCTTTATATTATTTTGTTTGTTGTTTCCCTTCCTCCCCCCCCCCTCGGGCCGAGGGATGATTTTGAACGGTGGTCCAAAGACTTTTTATGCCATCAAACAAAAATAATTTAAACAATTTTGAACATAAATCTCAAATAATATTAAACAAAAAAACCACCGAGATAGTGATCAAAACTTTAAAAAAACAACAAAAGCACGGAAAGGTTCTGAGGTCGAAAACGGTTTCGTTCATTATTTTTGTTCTTCTTAAATTAAACGCAAAGATAACGCTAAAAAAAAAAAACATAAATAAACATTCATATTTATTGTTTTCATTTATTTTTATTACATGATACATAATCCGAAAATCTGTGTAACGCCGGTGTGCCGTGGAAATAATTTCAGAACATCAATTCTATCACAAATGGGCTCTACTCACTGACCCTGACGACATAGTCGGCGGACCTAAAGGATACTTGAAATGTGACATCAGTGTGATCGGAAAGGGCGATACCATCAAAATACCGCCGAAAACCGAAAAGGACGAAGACGACATTGAGGCGTGAGTTACGAGATCCAATTGCGTTTCGTCTCCGAATTTACTTTCTATTCCTATTTACATTTCGAGTGGATTCCATTAGTTCGGTTTTTTGTTCACGATCGTCACACACTGAATCATTATCGACATTATTTATTTGCATAACAATTTGGCAAAATACGTGTTTACTCAAATATATATTATACCCACTCACACAATTATTTTGTCAAATTATCGAATACGGTTTTTTTGAGGAGAGAGGGGGCTTTTGCATATTATTATAATGAATTACGTAACAATATGTATTTAACTATTAAGTTTCTATAGCCGGTTTAGTTAATGAACTATAAACTGGGGATAGTTATAATAGTAATCTTAATTTGTTTATTCGATCGGGGTTTTCGTGCACGTTGGTTGAATAATAATTTTATAAACCCCGATATTATATGAAGCCCTCACTTTATCTTCATTAGTGACGATTACGTCTAACTTTCTTAGCTACGTCCTTAAGAAGCTACACTCTATATCTTCAATTATAATTAACAATATTATTTTTTTCTCAATATATACATAACAATCATCATTATAGTACCCTAGTTTTTACAAACGGTTCTTTGAATCCAACATGAGTAGGATATACTATTTTCTTTGCAGATCTCCGTATTCAATCAGCTGCCAACTTATCTCCGTATATTTCTTCTTTCACGACAGAATGCAGTGTCATTCTAGAAACATTTATTTGCATCAGATCGCTCCATCCTAGTAATTTTCTTATAATGTCCGGTTTTCAAGCCAGCTTTTTATCCTTATCTGGTAATATCTTTAATTCTCAGTGCTCCCCAATCATATTAAAAATCCACGATTTACTTCTTATTTTCAAAATCAGTGACTTTGTTATCTTATGCTTATGGGTTCTTGGTCATATTGGTATCTCGGGCAACAAGAGAGCCAATGTCTGTATGTTTTACTAATAACATATTTTTATCAGGTCTTTCATTATATCCTTATTCTGATCTAAACACTATCCACCGCAAATCAATACGTAAACATTGGTAATCTTTCAATCACCTATGCCACTACATACAAAGTAGTTTCCCCTACCATTTCCATGCAACCATAGTTTCAGACCACTCCGGTAATAATCAGTCGCGCTCTAATAGTTATGTTCATAAAACTTCGTATGGGTCACGATCTTTTACCAAATCATTTTAAGGCTTCAATTTAGGCCTTAACAGTCCAGTCTATATCCTCGCTAAGTGCGGCATAGAATTTTGCGACTTTCGTAATTTATTAATGTTCTGTCCTGCTCTCCTTTCTAATAGATACAATTTAAACATTTCCTTCACTTCTCTTCGCACTAATTTTTCAGATACCAACGCTATTTACTCTAATAATATCACCTTAATTTAAAATATTATTTATTACAATCTTCGATTTAGTCTAAAAATGTAACGACTGTGGGGTTTACTCACTTTATTCTTTTTTTTCTCTTTTTATACTTTATAACGGCCAACGTGTTTTATATATATTACAAATCGTTTATATCCTGTATAATTGTTGAAATACAATAATTTATGTTAAAATTTAATAAGAAAAACATTATACTCGTATTCCACGTATTCCCAATGTTTTTTTATAAAATATTATTATATAATATGATAATGTATTGTGTACGATATGTCGATAATAATTGTGTGTCTGGGTTTACATTCAGAAATCTTTTGTTGCCCGACGGCGTGCCGGTTGACCGCCAGAGAGCCAAGTACGTGGTTCGTATATACAGGGCCGATGGTTTGCCGAAAATGAACAGTACGCTGGTGGCAAACGTGAAAAAAGCATTTACTGGAGAGAACCGAGACCTGGTTGACCCCTTCGTACAAGTGTCGTTCGCCGGACTGACGGTAAGTTAAATTACCGATTAATCTCTAGACTCTAGAGAAACACTCGATGGTATACAGTAAGTTTAATATTACTAGACTGTAAAACTTAAATATCAACAAAAATAATAAAAAAAAAAAAAAAACCTCTTTTTAAACCACCAGTTGTAATAGTTCACTATTAATTCGTGAATTTCATAATAATATGAACAGTTGTATCTAATAGTTTAGTATATAAGTTGTGTATTTAAAACGAAAGGTAAGAAATCAACAAGTTCTGTTTTTAACTGAGTATATTTATTTTATATAAATGATTACTATATATATATATTACTAATTATTGCGAGCGTGAAAACAAAAAACATAAAGTTGAAAATAAAGAAAGAAAGAAAGATAATATTTGTTGTTACTTTGGACAATTATAACACGTGGGATCTATATTATTATCTACCTATTTTGAAATCAGTACTGATACTGTGATATAACTATAAACGAGTGTATGGAACATTTTGACTACAATAATTATAAAATATTATTTATAAAGACTAATTTGAAGAAAGAATGTGTGGTATTTTGTAAACCACACATACTTATTGTTATTTTTATATATTTATATATAGTAACCCACCATCCTCAATCGAATTGAAAAATTATACAGAACGTAATAATATGCTAGCGGCATTCTGTAAGATTGAATTATTGACGTGAATCGAAAATACTCTATACTATGAAATATTTTTATCCAGCACAACGCCTTTTTATACTTCGGTAACTATTCGTGTCACTGTCAGTCAGCATTTTCAACAATATAATAACGATTTGGTACACCAGTAGTGTCATATTATACTCATATAATACGATAACACTATTCGTATAATATTTACAAAATGTTAATAATAGATACTTAATACTAATTGAAATAAACCATTATAATATAGTAATATTCAGTATGTATAGATAATAATTTATCGAATCGGTCTTGTATACCGAAAACTGAACTATAATATTTATATTTCATTAAAAATGGAAAAATATTCATTATTCAATAATGCAATTTCATTTAATTCGTTTAAAATATAAGTCATGTGCATTAATTTTAGAATATTGTAATTATGTACCTACTCAGATAACCATGGGACTCTCAAATCCCGATATTCTATATTGATAAAACATTATCATAAATCATTTAACTACGTTAAAAAAAGATTTATACATTTTATTTTACCAAGATTTGACAACAACAAAATGTAGAACAAATGAATAAATGACGGAACTGTATCTAATTGACTTTAATATTATTCAAAACGCAAACACAATTGTTACAGCCTTATAAGCTATTGCGATATAAAAATTTATATTACAAATTTAAATACTTTTCATCTTTAACTCAATAAATAACTTACTGTTCAAAAACACTTATAGTCATTAGTATGCAATTTGAAATAAATGACTATAAATAATCGAAAACATTATGAATTCTAGACACAAAGTGAACCTCCACTTAGCTAGTACATAATACATATACACCTTAACCTTTATGCAAATATTATGATATCTCGATATAAATATAAATTCTTAAAAATAATAATATCTATAAACTTTAGTTTGATATATTATTTGTTGATTGTATAAATTAGGTGTACTATTTTAGTATTTAATACAATAAAGTGCAATAATTTATCAATTTCAAACATTTCAAACAATTAATTTTTATCAAACCAAGATCATAAGATAATAATCTTACCAATAACATTACCAATCTCGATTAATTGTACCTATAAATTACAAAGTGAAGTATATTTAATAAAGAATGTTTTATCTCGATAACGATATTCTGAAACAAAATATTATAAACATTTTCAGGATGTAACCTCCTATCGTTAATTAGGGATTATTTAAAATTGAGTTTTATACCGTATAATTAATGAATTATTAAAATTAAAAAAATGAAGTTGATCGTTAGTAAAATTCTACTTTAATATTTCAGTGTAAGTTTAATAAAACCAATTACGAAAATTGCTATATCGAAAATGATCGTCGTTTCCTGTTTTCCTCTTATTTCTTATTATTTATTAGGTTTTTAATTTAAAATCGATATTTTCTAATTTATTTCGTTTGTATTTATTTTCTTAAAAAATCAAATTCAATAATCCATCATTTTTAAAAACTAGGAAACCACAACGTTAAAATCTTAAGTTTAATTAATATTACATCAACTAAAGTATGCTAACAGCCTAGCATATAAATACACTTTTAGGTAGAGGTATCTACATGACAGTATAAAGATAATTTTCAGTTTATTAAATTACTAGCAAGTATTTATTTAATAGGTACCTATTTAATAACCAAATAACTATAAAGCAATACGGTGTGTGTTCCAAGTATCAATTAATTTTATAATTATATATTACCTATAAAATAACATATGTAAAGTAAAATATAAATTTAAAAAATACATTCACATTATTTGTATACATAATGCATATGACTGAAAAATTAATAATTTTATCAGGATTTATGACATATATTTATCAAGTTATTATTTGAAGTACGTACTAATAAAATAAATAAACAAACCAGCATTAGGATTTTTGGAACATGCATCAAAAAACTCGAATACAAACAGAAAATAGTGAATTTTAAATAAATTGATGATGAAACATGCCTAAATATTTTGTGTACAAAGGGCAAGACGAGCGTTCGGAAACACAGCTACTCACCGGTGTGGAACGAGCAAATTATTTTTTCCGAAATGTTTCCGCCACTTTGCCAGCGAATAAAAATCCAACTGAGGGACAATGATCCGGTGAACACGATCATCGGCACCCATTTCATCGATCTTAAAACCATATCGAACGATGGTGAAAGAGGTAATAATTCATTCAAATTGCACTTATAAAATGTGGAACATATAATATTACAGGGTATAATATGCACTGCTTGCACATATTATTCTAATAATAAGCTATTCGATGTGAACTTCAAAATGTCACCACATCACTAGACGTTTTTCGGTAGAAATCTATCTATTTAGAATATATTTTTCCTTTGAGGATTGACTTTCATAAAAAAAAAATATGCAATTTTAATTGAATAATTAATTATAATTATAATAATATTTTTGATTACACTTTTATTAAGATTGGAATTATAATATTATATAATAAATAAGTATAACAGAAATAAAATTGGCAACATAAAAACTATTTAACTGTTACTTGATAAACTGACAACATATAATCTAATAAGACAAAAATTATCGACAGTTGTGATTTATCAACTAATTATATAGGTAACAATAAATTCTAACAAAGGAAGATTGATATTGAATTTGTCGGTGAAGTACCATTTGGCCACCCTTGGTAAATCCCATACAATATAATATTTTAATTTTTCTTCATATTAGGATTTCCTCCTACTTTCGGACCGACTTTTATACATATGTATGGATCAACAAGAGATTATAGCATTTTAGACAAACACGCGACGCTTAATACTGGTCTTGGAGAGGGGGTTTCATACAGAGCTCGAGTATTAGTATCGATTCGTACTGAAATTACCGAAAACACGGAATTCATGAACTCTGGCGTAGATGTTGAACCGACTTATCCAATTACAGAAGTATGATATTTATTGAAGTATACTATTTTAAACTATTTAAATCATTATACTCATAATACATTCATTAAAATTGCTCCGATTTTCAGACATCGTATTGTAAAAACGAAGAGTTTTTTTTGTTCATGACCATTTTAGACGCATCAATGATCGAAAAAAAACTCGGAGAAAAACCAATATTTTTCGAATTAAGTATTGGGAACGCAGGAAATATGATTGATGGTCATAATGAATCTAATTCTCAAGAAGACCATGATAAAGTCAATGTGCTTGGTAATCTATTTAGTTATATCTCTTTGTTTTATCTATAATGTATTATATCTTTAATTAAATATATAATGTTACAGAAAGCGTCATTTCGGAATCATGGCAAAGCACAACGGCAGCAATAAAACCAATAACCAACGATAAGGTATATTATTACTTGCCATTACGTGAGGATAAGCCTTGTTTGCACGTTAAGTCAATATGGCCAGATTACAGACGAAGAATGTACAACTCCAATATAATCAATAAAATATCTGATAGACTGGTATAAAAATGTCTTTTTATGGAAATTCCATATTTTAAAATTATTTCTATATTTTATACGCATGCAGGAAGAAGGTCTAAATGAAGTATCGTTTTTGATTGATGATGATGATCCAGATAAAGAAGAAAAACTTAAATCTGTCTTAGACGAACTATCAACTAGTTGCAACCGATATGTAAATTTCACTAAAGGTGTAGGGTGTGGTCAAGGTTTAGGAAAAACCAAGTTAGACAAAGAAAGAATGAAACTGTGTCTTAGAGAGATTGTAATTATGATACAAATTACTCACAATTTAAAAAATTAATAATAAACGTTTATATTTAAAAACAGGAACAAATTGGAAAAATGTCAAGAACTTTAAAGGCTATAGTTACCAAAAACTCGTTTAAAGAACGTTACAGAACTGCGTTAAACTATTTACAAAAAATAAAAGCGCTCATTGAAGACGTAAAGTACAATTAAAAACATTTTTTGACCGTTTCTCTATGAAATATGTTTTATTCTTTTAGCCACAACATTCTTTGCCGGATATTTTTCTATGGATGGTGAGCAATGGTAAAAGAGTAGCTTATCAAAGAATTATGGCTAGACACTTAATTTATTCGGTTGCTGATGAAGAATGTGGAAAATTTTGTTCAAAAGTTCACACCTTGTTTTTGAAGGTATTTATAATGAAACACTGAGTATTGAGAAGAAATTAAATTTAAGTGTCATAATTTCAGTTACCAGGAAAGAAAAATTATGGTTCTTCTGGATGGTCAATACCTATTAAACTACAAGTATACACGTGGTTAGGACAAATGAAACATAAAAAATATCTATCAAATGGTCTGCCCAATGGTTATAATACCACACCCGAATTGTATAGTCCAGACAATCCTAGATTACCACCGCCGGCCTACATTCATTATTGTGAAAAATATGTTAGTGAAAGTAGTTCTATAATATTATAACGTATTATCTCTACTAATAAAACAACTTGATGATAAACATTATTTTTAGACATTTCAACTGAGAGCATACATGTACCAAGCTCGATCGTTGATCGGTTCCGACGCATCCGGTTTGTCTGACCCATACGCACAAATAATATTTGGTGAAAACTCTATCAAAACTCAAGTATCTACCTACTTATATGTTCAATTGAATTCTCGATTATATTATATGCGATAGAATTCTATTCTCAAATCCACTAAAAAGCATTTTCGTTAAAAATAAATAAATCAAATTTGATCTAAATTAATTAAAAATATATAAACTTTCAATTGATTTTTTAGTATTTTCAATCAAAAATGTTATTTACTTGATTTGAGAATCAAACCAATAGGTCTCCTGCGCATTAATAATTTGTATTCTATGTTTCTACAGGTTATAGATGAAACATTAAGTCCGACTTGGGACGAACTATTAATCATCAATGACGTGATACTCTATGGTACAAAGGATGACATAAAAAAACATTCACCGACCATAGTGGTGGAAATATTCGATCAAGACAAAGTGGTAATCTGTTGGTTTTATAAAGGAATGATATACTGACAATTTGTGTAATACTTAGGGCAAATCAGAATTCATCGGGAGAACTGTGGCTAAACCGCACGTGAAACTTTTGGAAGACGACTATATCAGACCAGAATTTCCCCCAGCATTGGAATGGCATGATGTACATAGAGGCATGGAACATGCAGGAGAACTTTTAGCTACATTCGAATTGTTACAAGTTGGACTATTTAAATTTAACTACACCACTAGCCGGTATTATTTAATATTTATTCTAGCTTCCTAACGCGTTAATTGGTGAAAGTGCAATACTACCGCCTTTACCAGATCCCAAAGACGTTTATTCGATAATGGATGGTCAACATTGTGAACCGATCTTACCTATTCCCAAAGATATTAGACCGACTTTAGCGAAATATAGGTATATACAAACCACAACTTAGGATATTTGTTTTGAACTACGTCTATATTATACACTTATACGTTAATTAGTTTTAGCCTAATAACTAAAATATGAAATATTTTTAAATTTATACAACTTTCGTTAATTATTTACCTAACCTAACCCATTGCAATGTACACTGAACGTCCCATAAACGATTTTAGAATTGAAGTGTTATTCTGGGGACTCCGGAATCTGAAACGAGTTCACTTGATGACTGTCGACAAACCTCGTGTAGACATTGAATGTGCTGGTCATATTCTCTATTCGTCTATTATTCAAAATGCCCGCAAAAATCCAAACTTTAGCACTCCAGTCAAATTTTTGGAACTAGTGAGTGTTACAAAATACCTAATAATTTGTACTAGTATTATTTCAAAAATATGCTTTAAGATGACTTGATAACTGCATATGCATCTCTGTAGAAACTAACGGACGATATAGCATAATTACGTTACTTAGCATATAAATTGTGGCATTCAAGTAAATATTAGATTTTAAATACAAGTAACAAAATTTAAAGAAGAAAATATTTCGGGAGGCTGTATGTATTTTTTTTTCTAAATTTTAACCGTCAGTTCGGCGGAAACACCACATGTGGATATCAAGTCTTCTTGAGTAAAAAGAAAAATGTGTTATAGCCTTAAGAACTAGCATTATATACACATACATATATGTTTATGCTCAATAGGAACTTCCAGAACAAGAATTATATCGTCCACCATTGACAATACGAGCTGTTGACTGTCGGAGTTTCGGTAGATTTACATTAGTAGGTACACATCTCATTAACTCGATTCATAGGTATATGTACGTTCCAACTACGAAGAAGGAAAGAGAAGCTATTGAACGGAATAAATCACTAATGCAATTGCAACGTAAGAATGCCTTAACAATATACAAAATACCTAGTGGTGTCAATAGTAAGAGGTTACAGTAACATTTGCAATCTCTATCTATCTAACGAGCAATAAAGCAAAAATGTATTTTCATGCTTTCAGTAGTACCCAGGATAACAGGATCTAATTGACCTGAAATGAAAGTTATTTCAACAAATTAAAGATAAAAATATTTTTATATTTTCGAAAAAATGTTTGATGTATTCATTGAATATTTTTCTACCTAAATAAAAAATTATACAATTTTTTTTTTAAGTTTGGAGTATGAATAGATTATCGGGGAATAGAATTTTAAAAAAAAATCCTCTTTTCAAAACATAATAAATTTTGTCTTATTTAATTAAGTAAAATAATTTTTGATTTAGGTATATTAAATCCTGAGTAGATACTGTTAACAGTAAATATAAAACATATTTTTGCTAAATTGCTACCTACTAAATAAATAAAAAACGTCAAATTTTACTGTGGCATCTTATTGTAGTAATGATATTGAATTATTTTATTATATAGGTATTTATTTTACTGAAACAAAAAACACTAATACTTATTATTCTATTACATTAGAATATTTTTTGTAAGATTCCTAAGTATAAAAGTATCAATGTTCAATGTTGTACATTATCTAGATATCTAAAATATGTATTTATTATTTTATCTAGATAAATAAAAAGGTTCTCTGATTATCTAGAAATTAATTTGACTTGATTTTTCGTTTTAGATATTCGTTGTTTGATATTCAGTAATATTATCGAAGTAAATGTTTATTACTTTATTAGTCACTAATCTTCCATTTTTGTATTTAAATATTTTATTTTTAGCATTACAATATATTAATTTGAAACGTAAACCTTTAAGATACATATTAGATAGGTAATTGATAAATAATAAATATATCGGTATTCAGTGTAGTAATCTGGATTTCGACTCCATATTTACCTTATGGTCGTTTATCAAATCTATAAATTTATAAATTATTATATATAGATACTACATATAGATATATAGAGATACTACAGAGTTTAAATTTATATTCGTTTTACTATCTAATAAACCAATCCTCGGAAGAACACTTTGATTTCATAATCAGTGTCTTCCGAATGTACCTCTTCTTTGTTGGAATCGCTTCTTACGTTTTAAACGTTCCTCCGGGCTGCTGAGTCTCAGTAAATAAATAAACTTCTACCTTCGTCAAGTGTTTTTATTTACTTTAAACATATGGTTTATTCGAAGAGTCGATGACTTAAGTTGACTTCGTAATTTATTACTATTGCACCGTACCGTCAGATTCGGTTCATTATATTACATAAATATAAAAATATAATAGATTTATATTTAACAAACAAATGGAATATTTTTATTCAACTTTCCTCAGTTTAATAATTGTTCTATTATTTTACGACAATATTTTAATAAAAATATTATCAAAACTACTATTATATAAATGGATTAATAATCACGTCAAATTATTTCAGAAATCGAATCAAAAAAAAATCTAACAAACACAAGTCGATCTAACAAAAATGATCAAAATGCTAATTATAACAATACCATACAATCCGATAATGTATTTGACAGCAGGGATAGTGTCATCAACATTAGCTATGTAAGTTATTATTAACAAGATTTATTTAAAATTATTTGACCTATTTTTTGTTTTTTCGATATTAGGGTTCTAGTCATCTAACTCAAAAAGATATTAAAACGCAGTTCAACAGAAGTCGTAAACCAAGTTTCGAAGAAGTAGTTGAGTTAAAGAATGATGACAGTCGAGATTGGTGGACTAAATATTTTGCATCTGTCGAAAACGCTATTGTAGAAGTTTGTAATCAATAATTAATATATAAACCAGTGTTCCATTTTGATTTGAATACCTTATTAAAATATCTTAGGAAAACAGAAAAACAGCTTATGGAGACACCAATGGTTTATTGCCAATTCAAATAGAACCTACCCAGAATGATGTAAAACCATTAAAAAAAAGTACAAAAACGTCGCGTTTTGTAGCAAAATTAAGTCCAAAAAAATTTCAAAGAAAACGTGAAATTACTAAAATCGCTACTATGAAAGTAACTGATATTGATTTAGTTAAATTTCACTATTATTATTTTTAATTAAGACATACACATTTATATAAAACATAATTGTTTGATTTTTGATAGATATATTCAAACGAACTAGAATCACAACCAGAATTTAATGGTTTTCGAGAATGGTTATTACCATTTGATTTGTACCGTGGTAAAAAAACCGGTGATGATGTCGAGGACGAGGCTCGCATAGTTGGAACGTTCAAAGTAATGTTTAAATGTATTTTATATTTATTTAAATAATAATTATTAATTTTTCAGGGTTCAGTTAAAGTATATAAATGGCCTCTACCGAAGGACATCGAAGACCACACAATAATGGGTTTTGACCCTCAATATGGATTTTTTCAAGGTTTGCCTTCAAACGATCCGATTCATGTATTGGTTAGAGTATACATTGTGAAAGCAAACGATCTTCATCCAATGGACATAAACGGGAAAGCTGATCCCTATGTGGTGTTACAATTAGGTTCAAAAAAAATAAGTGACAAAGATAATTATATATCAAAACAACTCAATCCGGTTTTCGGAAAGTATGTTTTAAATAAAATTTGTCAATGAATACTTAAAAATTTATATTAATATAATGATATTAGATGTTTTGAAATCGAAGCGACGTTCCCTCAAGACTCAATGTTGACCGTACAAATACTAGATTGGGATCTGTTGGGATCCGATGATTTGATAGGAGAGACCCGTATAGACTTAGAAAACCGATTTTATAGTAGACACAGAGCTACTTGCGGAATTCCTAAAACGTATGAACTGTAAGTATAAATAACGGCAGACTATTCGTTTGTCTGTTTGATTTCGATTGACAATGAAACCCGTTTAAATGTTCAGATTGGGGTACAACCGATGGAGAGATTCAATGAAACCCACACAAATATTAGCAAAACTATGCAAAGAAGCTAAACTAGACCCACCGGTTTATTTGAACGGTACTGTCAAGGTCGGTACGAAAACGTTTTGTCTCCAAAACACCAATGACGATGGGATCGAATGGTATTGCGCCAAAGGCAAGTATACCAAACATCGTATCGAATATTGAAGATGGGATAGGTAAAACTGAGACTGCATAGAAGGGTGGTAAAAGGGAAGTTGTATTTATTGTTTAGTTTAAAAAATTGAGTATTCAAGTTAAAATAACTACACACGTAATATGTTGGCATTGTGTTAATATAATAATTGTCTGCAAAAAATAATAAAATATACGACCTATAGCCTAAACAGCCGAAAAAACGTGAATAACGTCATATCCATAAATATCTTAAATACATTTTTCTTTTACTAATCTAACTTGGCCTTTTTTTTTCACGTCGTTTCAGGTACGGAAGAGCATATGGCGTTGGCCGTCCTACACAACTGGCATGAGATTCCACGGAGAGGCTGTCACCTAGTGCCTGAACACATCGAAACCCGGCCGCTGTTCATAGCCGACAAAGCCGGAATCGAACGGGTAAGCTCGTGATACCAATCATATTAATAAATTTGATTGTCTTTCATCTGAAAAATTCGCAGTACTCCGTCTATCCCCTTCAAGGTTGTCCTTTACGGTTCTACAAATTCAGATAATTCTTATAACGCGAAGTTTTAGATTCTGAGTGGAGTGAAGAAGCTTATAGTTTTATAAAGATGCTTATTTTTTTATCTGTGCGCCACTTTTCTCTTTTCTACCAGAAGAATTGTTCGGATTTCTACGTGTAGAGCACCTTTTCTGAAAGTAAATCAACGTGGGGAGATACTTAAAGGAAACCATTTTTCGATTTTCTCAAGAGTTTTCCCAACAAATGTTAAAAACAGATATAAAACATAGGAAAACCTGGAAAAACGTAGGAAACCTGGGAAAATCGGTACAATATTTAACATATATTATCAAAACAAATATATAAAGTCTATTTAATTATTTTACTATAAAATGACATATATATTGTTGACAAAGCATCACTATCAACTGAACTCCGCTCATAATCGTTTTTTCGTATGCACTGGTTTATTGTTACTTACAGGTATACATTGAATTATCTATAACAGGGGCTGCACCTGTCCCTATTATTCTAGGACGTCTTTTTCTAAATATTTCTCGTTTGTCTATTCTCCAACAATCTCTCTACCATCTCAACTACATTTTAATAGATAGTGATGGCAATATGGTTTTTGCCCAAGGTTTCCGAACTACTACAGCATGCAATGTCTTCCTAACTTTTTATATGTTTAATCTTATAATATGTTTAATTTCATCCATGCACATTGCACACGGCTAAGTTAACTTTATGTATACCGACTTTCCCAATGTTTTTTATTTAGTTAACCACAACTTGATTATCTACATACCTCATCTCTTTCTGACTGTCGTCTACTGAAAGACAGCCTTCACCATTTAGTTATCTGAGACAAGTTTCTAAGCCTCTTAATAAATATACTCAAATGCTCAATTTTCACTTTTACCCTCTCCCGTACGCCGATAATTTTTCCTTGCCGTATAAATAACGTGCTTATCAAATGAACCGAAAATTCTATACAAGATTTTTATTTTATTCTTTCTCCCATAAAATGCACTGAAATTATATTATTTTTCCAAGCCTTCAAGCTCTTGAATTTCATACTCCGTACCTCCCGCTATTTCAAGCATACTCCTCCACTCATATCACTCTACTACACTCTGATCGGCCCTGTTATCAAATATGAAACCATCCACTGGAATCCTTCTACCATATATGCTAGTACTATGGTTAAAAGGGTTCAGAGATGCTTCCTTCGTATATCTACCCTCAGATTAACATCCCTCACTCTCCCCATGATTATTCCCCAGTTCAAAGTTTCCTTAACTTTCTAGTCTCCCAAATTGCAGACGAACGCATAATATATTTTTATATTCCAATAGCCTTACAAGTAAAACTGATTCATCAAGTCTTCCGTCATATTGAATTAGTTTTAATTAAACCATGTCTTATTTGAACTAATCTCTAAGTATATTGTAAATAATTTAATAGATAATTTTAATTTAATTTTAGTCTTGGTTAAATTTTAGTTTTAGTTTAGTTTGAGTTTTTGTATACTATTATTCTTATACTTTGGGGCTACAGCCTTTACTACAATAAAATAAAATTGTATTGATTTCGTCTGGTCAATTTTTTCCCAAGTTAGGTGAAACCCATCAGGTCATGATACTTGTCTGAAGAGTTTTTCGTTTTACAAAAATGCAAACTGGTATAGGTATTTTATATTACAATACATTATTATTAGGAATGATTTAAGTCGGAAAAACTTAGATAGGGTCTATATTTACCAATAATTGAGCGGCGTTCCATACACTAACTAAAACCAACTAAACTTACAAGAAACACGTGAAGTCAACACTTCAAAAATTATTTTCTCCCAAAAACATCTGTTTACATAAATATCATACTTATAGGATTTAAAAATAATCTCTGCAAAAAAATATTTAGTTTTTTATGTCATCAAAGTTAGATATCTATAGTTACTTCAGTGAAAATACACAATCGCCCCCCCCCCCGGACTTCAAAGACTTACAATTTAAAGGGGACAGATAATTTTAATTTAAATAAGAAACGTAACTCCATACACCTAATTTAACCACAGATTTTAAGTAAGTAAAATGTTTTCATCAGTATAATTATTTCGTAATGATAAAATATAATACTCACAAGCTCTGAGGATACGGCTGTCTGAAAGTCTTAGTTTTGGAAAGTCTTACAACGTTTTCCCGTATTTAGCCAAAATTACCAATAGAGATTCCTCTCAATATAAATTAATATTTTACAATGATTAATTAAATAATTACGGATATCTATAACATCATTACATTTTAAGAAACACTGGTCCAGTAGAATATTTTTTTATTCGATCGGCATATGTGTTAGGGAAAATTGGAAATGTGGGTGGATATGTTTCCAATGGACATGCCGCTTCCCGGGCCGGCGTTGGACATATCGCCCAGGAAACCGAAATCGTATCAGCTCCGGGTGATCATCTGGAACACGGACGACGTGGTGTTGGAAGACGACGCGTTTTTCACCGGCGAAAAAATGAGCGACATCTACGTGAAAGGGTGGGGAATTTTTATATTTATTATTATTGATTAAAATATGTGGCCATGATATGTGATATTAATATATTGTATATATCATACCGCTATAATATAATCGTCATATTATTATCGTCGATTATGTCATAATCGGATTAGAACAATAACATATCTAATAAAAATAATTCGGGTATAAAAAAAAAATGACTGTAGTTTTAATAAAACGTAATTAATTAATGATAAGTAAAGGGAAATTACGGATCCAAAGCTGGTTTTTAATATGTAATAATTATTAAATGGTATATTGATGGCCACGATTTACGAATATGGTTACGAGTGGCAGCAAATAATTATAATTTTTTATAACACAGTTTAGTACGTAGCCCATTCAACACGAGACGGAACACGCTTCCCGTCGTTTTCAATCGAGTTGTAATTATTTTATTTATGATTTCTTATGAATTTGAGTAAACCTTCCGTTAAATTTAACAGCACCTATATATACACAATCAAACCAGTCAAGTACAAAATTATTAAGGGAAATATATCAGCTAAAAATCGTTGCTACAACCGTTTCTACATGCATGTTATTGTTGGGTTGATTGCAGGTGGTTGAAAGGTCCAGAAGACTGCCAGAGCACGGACATACATTACAGGTCGTTGACGGGAGAGGGTAATTTCAACTGGAGATTTATGTTCCCTTTCGACTATCTCGTGGCGGAAGAGAAGATTGTTATATCGAAAAAGGAATCGCTGTTCTCGTGGGACGAAACAGAGAGCAAAATACCTGCCCGACTTGAACTCCAAGTGTGGGACGCTGATCATTTTTCGGCTGACGATTTTCTAGGTAAAAATTCAAATGCAAAAAATTATAAAAAATACAAGGCTATAATTTTTCGCTACACTTCAAAAAATTAATTCGGTCGAAATCTATTATAGGAGCGTTGACATTGGACTTGAATAATTTCCCGCGAGGTGCCAAATCATCGAAACTTTGCACATTAGAAATGCTCAAATCTGATGGGTCGGTGCCCATGGTCAACATATTCAAACAAAAACGCGTCAAAGGCTGGTGGCCATTTTACGTAAAAAAAGAAAACGAAGAAATGGAACTAACGGTCAGTGTTTAATAATATTATTATTTTTAAATAATTTATAATTTGTTTTCCAGGGTAAAGTTGAAGCCGAATTGCATTTGCTCACGGCCGAAGAAGCGGAAAAAATCCCTGCGGGTATTGGTCGCAACGAACCAGACCCACTGGATAAACCCAAGTAAAAACCTGAGTTCAATGTGTTGCACATATTTTTAATATCTACTCATTACTAACACACGGTATTTTATTGTTTTTGTATTGTAGTCGACCGGACGCTTCGTTCATGTGGTTCTTAAACCCGTTTAAATCCATACGATACATCATCTGGCACAACTATAAATGGAAAATTTTGAAGGGCATCATCGTGCTGGCGATATTCTTGATGTTGATATTGTTCTTCTACAGCATTCCCGGTTACACGGTCAAAAAAATGTTGGGCGCCTGAGTTTTTTTTGTTTTGTACATCTAATGGCAGGGGGTATTCACTCCGTTAGCAATCGATTCCATCGACTTCTATTCAAACACCATTTACTTATTGTTTTCGCCGTATTTAAAATTTACAAACATGTTAAAAACCAGCCACACATTTATGAGTGCACTAATTTATGAATTATATAGATAAAAATGAATTTACTCGTATAAATTAGCGTTATTCATTTATTGAATTGTTATACAAATATTAATATGTGTAATGTAAATTCATTATTTTATACACAATTCATTAAAATTTCAATAATATCTATATAAAACTTATCGCTGGTTTCTACCGTTTTGATAAATTTATTATAGATACGACGAAATCGATAACCTTGGAAATATCGATACCTTTATTTCAAAACACGGTGTTTCAACGGATTCGATAAGTCCTCATACTTTTGAAGCACTTTACTTATTTACTTTTAATATATACATTTGTCCATCGTTTTTATTATTTTATTACACGTTATCATCGATTTAATAAAATTTTAAGAACTTTCAACTTTCTAAACCCCAAACTTGTCTATAATTTGACTTTTTATTTATATTATTTCATGGACTTAACCCTCACTACTTCTCACCATGATCACGAAAAAAATACATCCTAATAAATACTATCTACTATCTACTGTATAAAATATATCAACCACTCATGGAATATTATAATATAACGGCTAAAATTATTATATTTTTATTTGCTATCGGCTTCAAAATATTTTTAATATCTAAATAATAATATAAAAATGTACCTAATTAATTTTTGCTTTCGATACAATATAAAAATGTTAATATTGTATTTTAGGTACCTAAACGTTAAGATAAAAAAACAGCAATAATCATAAATACATACATTTTTAATTAAATCTAAGTGAATTTAGAATAATTAACATTATCTAATTTTCTATACAAAGTTGTTTGTTTACGAGTAGTGTTATTATGATTAAAATATAGTAGGTAGGTATAAATATTGTTACTAATATTTTTTGAATGTTTAAAAATTTTCGTACGTTAAATAATAAAAAAAATTAATCCCTAAACCATAATTTATAATATTTGCATAACATTGTAAAGGAAATAAATAGATCAATAACAATAACAAAAACAGTAACAATAACATTTTTTTAAAATACATGAAAATAATTATATCCTCTTAAAATATTTTAGGTACCTAATAAACTATGGCCTGAAAACCCCTATTATAGTAAAATATAAAAACTTCAAAATATAATATTTAACAATAGCAACACTCACTGTGTAGAAAAAATCTACCGACATATTAATAATGTTTATTTTTTATTGATAATTGTGTTATTATCAGAAGAAAAGATACTTTTTGAAATCAATATACTATAAAATATTAAATATGACAATAATATTTTTATGTGAATTTTGTTTGTATTGAATCTGTCCTATATTACGAAACTATTTTATAACTTATCTACCTAGTAGTATATTTGTTTTTTATTTACAAGATAATCACATTTTAACGTCATCATTAATTTACCTTTTATTATTAATTAATTAGTTTATTAATTGTTATACCTAGTATATGTTATCATTGATGCATAATTTTGATAAAACTGTTTATTGTAAAACTGTTAAATTAATTTTAAAATCAAAATTATGCATTAGTTGAGTATCAAATTAAGTATTTTGTTCATCACTAGTTTTAAACTTTTTTTAATAGAGAAAAAAATGTTTTTTTTTTCTTTAATGTATTAATGGACACAAATTATACATATTATTATATGATAAGAAACCCGACATATTTGTTGAGCAAAAAAAAAAATAGATATTAACATAAATCAGGATTATAAACATATTTTATAGCTTTTAAAATAGTTATGCGTACCCAGTGTTGAATCTAGGTATATTGCAGGGAGGGCGATAACCCCCTGGAATTTTGTTTCCCTCTCCCCTGTTATATGTGGATAAATTAATAATTAAACAAATATGACTGTTTTTAGAAAACCAAAAAAAAAAAGGTCATTACTATAATTTTAGTAATACCACCCCCAAAATAATTTTCTGGATTCAACTCTGTACGTACGCTATCAAAATTAATTATAACAATAATAACTCGTAATGTATTACTTAAATACATAATACATAATATCATAATTATCATCAAAATGTAATATCCAAGAAAACATAAAAATATAATATTAATTGTAAATAATGGTTTAAAGTAAACAAATAAATAGAAATTGTAAAACTTGTAAACAGAATTTGTATATTGTAAAAATATATAAATCAACTATAAAATTATTATTTTTTGACTTTTAATTTACCAAGGAAGTAGAAATCTTATAAGAGACCATACGCAAGACGGATTGTAGGTAAAAATATCCAAGTAAAAAATGTCCAGCTTATTTACTGTAGGTATAGCTGGATAATTAACAAAAAAAACTGAAGGATGGACTCAGGTTTCCCATAGTATTTTTACATTCCCATCCAGCTATTAATTTAAAAAATGCGGTTGGAATTGGGGGTTGACCAGTGCAAAATAAGTCAAAGGGAAAGTATCGAACCGCCAAAAAAAAAAGTATGAAAACTTTTTGAAATGCATATATTAAATTAAATTAATATTTTATAATAGAGTAGAATAATATATATTTTAATCAATTTTATCATTATCATTTTTATTACTTTTAAGACCAAAATTTAAACGAGTATTATACCTATATTAATATATTATTACGTATTAAAATTATATTTAATTTATTATTTATATTAATAAAATAATAATTATATAGGCATTATAATTTTTACCTCCGGACATTTTGGTAGAACCCCCGCAAAACGCGGGTCTGGTCGATATTTATTTCACCGCATTTTTGGCTCTTCGATTTTCGTACATTATTATGTGCCATACGGTTAAATTAATAAATTATTATAAGTCAAATTTATCTAGACAATCAAAAAAAATAACTGCTTCAAAATTATCTAGATACAGATACATATAATATAGGCAATAAAATAAAATTGGGTTCAACTGATCCAGGCCCAGATAAAGATGACAAATATTAAAACTCAGATAGGTAAAATAAGAGATAAGTAAATTTGAATTATGAGTATAATATTTTATGGAAAATTTATTTCCAACTTCCCAACTACTTATAGTTTTAGTATAAACCAATTTAAATAATACATATTATAATAATACAAGATGTTGAAACGAAACTCACCAACGTCATCTTCTTAATAATTTTTAAGAAGACAAATCATAAATTATTCTTTAATTTTAAACTTAAAATTGAGTTATGTATTATTTAGAATTCATATCTAAATAGTTGAAACACTATGTATTATTTCATTATTTAATTTTAAACGAATTTTACAAAATTGTAATTTTAATAACAATAATTTTTTAATTTTAAATTAATAATACCTTAAAATAGTTCAATATTACAACATTTATGAAGATTTATTTTCAAACTCAGAAGCATAAAATGCGTACTTAAATATTAGTTTGTATACTCGATTTATATGTACTCCTTATAAGTATTTAGTTAAGTATGTATAGGCTATCTCACGAAGATATACCCCTTGAATATCTCCGGAGATAATAAAGATAAACAAATTCTGTTTTTTTATATTACTCACAGGGATGAGGACTACAAATATTTATATTTTAATTGTACTTTTTTGTTTTTAGTAAAAAAAATACTTATTGTTTTGTTATTTTCGGAAAATTTTAAGATAGCCATTCTGTAGAGTTTATTTTTCTGGAAATTTTAATGTATTACACATTTATATATCCGATGAATAGTTTATGAGTAACAGCAGTTTTAAATTCTACCAATCCGTGTGAAAACCGATGTTATCGCATAACGCGGTTAGGTTATGCCCTAACTGATAACCATACATCCGTACCGGTGATTCTCGATGACGATATCTACCGATCGCCAATAAACAATAGATACCATTAATGCAGTATGGCTAATAACTGTTAATGACTTTTTTTTACTCAAAAACATATCATTATGTACTATGGTACATATCTACTACCTATCTATTGCATATTATTATTACATAATATATAATTAACATTATTATATTTGGTACACATATATTCAATCATTTATGAATCAAACATTTATCAGTGGTGTGGCTAAAAGAAAAAATAAATTCAACAAATACAACATTTTTTAAAAACAAATAAAAAAATTATTTTGAAAACAATCAAATACAATACTGAATTTAGTTAGTAGATATTATAAATGAACATTTATCTGAAGAAAAAGCATAAAATCTTCTTTCTTTTTTTTTTTAATATTAAAAAATATTATTAATCTTTTTATTTTAAATGTTATATATATATAACATATATATATATTATTGTAAATCATGTTTGTTCAATCAATAATCATATTATATTTTGACCTATTTTTCATGACAAATTTGGTACATTTAGGATTTTAAATTTTAAATTTCTTTTTTAAAATTCAATACATCCACCATGAGTATCATATCTTGGAAGTAAAAACCCCCATGGTGTGAATCTTTTTGTATTCATTTATTGGTTGTATTGATATGTATTCATTTTATGATACTCAAAAAAGAAGGGCCCATACACATTTGTTTGCACCTGGATCGTTGGACTCTCCAGTTGTGGAACTAGCAATGATACATCAATACAATATATATAACCTAAATTTCTCTATATATCCTACCTTCCCAACTTAGAGTGTATATAATCTAAATTACTCCATATATCATACCTTCCCAACTGCCCACCTACAACAGTGGACTACACATAGTGCGAACTATATCCACAGAGTCTAATTACCACATTTAACGATATTATACAGTTATAATGTAATAAGAATCCTCTCATTTTTTACGAGGTCAACAATGTTATGTAAAACAAATTAAAAAATTGGACAAAAAGACCACTGTATCGCAGATAAATCACAGGGTCACAACATAAACATTATTACTTATATTTGTTTAATTAAATTAAAAAATTTTAAGATCCCTAAGAAAACATAAAATTCTCAAAATTATATAAATAAGTTATCTTCTTCTTACAATGTATACATTTTTTTTTGTTTTTTTTATATGTATAAACTGAATAATAATTCTGTTTCAATTTACCTTTATTTCATCATTCTTAACTACATTTAAACCATCGTTATTTTACGATATCATTTTGATTACTATTTTGAAATTCTTCTTCGGCCAAAAACTTATTGGAGCGATTTACGATTTACGAAAATACCAATTTAAAAAATTATTAAATTATAATTGCTCAATTGGTGCATTGAGTCTATTCAAAAATGATTGGTTTAATATCTGCAACATAATAATAATACGTTCGGTAAAAATCGTAGTAATTTAATATTATAATTTATAGGTGAACGAATTCGCAACTATAATGCAATAGATATAAAAATAATTACATTAATAATGCATTTAGAGGATTAATTTGGAAATTTGTCTTGTAAACGTATTTTAATTAAATTTTTAGATGTAATAACAAGCAACAAGCTATAGAAAATTTAAATTATCTTATTACTTTCACACGTTATAATTTTGTTTTGTAAATTATTTTGAACATCGACATCTATTATCGGGTCAATTGCTTCGGGATGAATGGATTTATCTCTGACTTGTTTAATGATTTTCATAATAATATAATATGTTAGTTATTAGTGTACGAATTTTCGAGCAGCACTTAATGTATTATATTGTAAGTACACAGACCATGATTAAACCATCGAGCTACCGAAAAAATCTCGATGGTCCAATCGATATATATTTAAAATTAAATCATTTTATTTTAACAGCAGTTTTCTATCTAAAGGTGGCTCCACACTAAAAGCACAGTTGTGCTCAACGTTGCTGTTCTGTAGCTGTAACATTCTCGCGAGCACAGGCGTCCATATTGAACGTAATGCGACATGATGATGAGTTTTCCATTGTTCACCAGTGTGTTTGTGTCGTTTAGAAAATATATTGTCCGTCTTTTCCGTTATAATTATTTTTCACAAAAATTCTATTAATCATATATCACTTTTATAATGCCCGATCAAATAACTAGTAAATCGTTCATTGTTACACACAGCTTACAAAAAAAAAAGTAAAAACCGTGAACGGCGTTGACTTTGGAGACTCCTGCTCTGCAAATGGTACACAATTATAATTTTACTGTTACAACAACAACACAATACGAACGATTTTCGACCAAACCAAAACAACAAAACACGCTTATCGAACACTGATAGACTGATATGAAGTGTTAATTATTATGTGGCCGCAGTTCGTACTACTTTTTCCTAGTGATTTAGGGATTGGGCCATAATTCACCAACACTGATTCTCATAACCGTTACCTGAATCTATACACGTTACGTCAAAATATTTAAGGTTAAACCTGATAATGATTTATATAATCTTAAAACAAACAAAAAAAAATTAAAAAACTAGTAAAAAATAATGTTCAAAAAACGAAAAATAACTTTTGTGACTACTATTAGCGATACCTAGATTTTTTTCTCCCTACAAAATCGTTATGTATACAAATACACATTGAAAAATCATAAAATCTAAAAATTGTTTTCGAATATTTTGTTTTGTTACGACAAAACAAATCGTGAGTAATAATTTGTTTGGCTTGATATATATAATATATATGATATTATGTAGGCATAATAATATAATTATTATTACATATTCATAAATATAAACAAATTTATGGTAAGCTCGGTTTTTTAGTCTCTGCAAGTATAATTATAACTGTTTTTACTCATATTAAACGAAATGTACGAAACAAACTCGTCCGGCTAATGCGTTAATGATTAATCAAATTTCCTATAGAAGAAAATTATTTTAGCTATAAAATATATAATGATTTAAATGTGATTTGTTCGAAAGTTCTGCATTTAGTAAAATAAGTATGATTATGATACACATACCGAATATATAAAAAGCGTATTTGAGGAAGAGCATAGAAGGCTGAGAATATAATTTTTATGTTCATTAATCACAATTTAAGTATTCAAAAATATTAAATCACGATATGAAATAAACACATTGATAATACAATAATTATATTATTGATTAAGTCCTAATTTGAATTAACAAAAATTCGTTGTTATAGGTAAGTTATCGGCATGCACTAATGATACATAATTAAATTTAAACGTAATTGACAAGTCGAATAGGGTAAGAATTCGCAATATAGATTAACTGGCTTAACT